TGGGTTTAAATATGTCATCTTGTTATTTGTTTTCTGTTTGCCATATCTGTTATTTGTCCTCTTTCCCTTTTTGTCTTCTTTTGAATTGGATATTTCATTGCTGTTCTATTTTGCATTCTTTGTTGGCTTATTAGCTATTAGATCTTTTTTAAATGGCTGCTCTAGGTTCAATAGTATACATCTGTAACTTATCAATCTATATTGAATACTATACTACTTCACATATAATACAAGAACAGTATAATTCTATTTACTCTTTGTCTTTGTAATTTTGTCATGTTTTGCTTATACATTTGTTTTACAAAATTCTGCATATGTTTTTTGCTTTAAACTATTCATTTTCATTTAAGGTGATTTTAAAATAATCTTTTTCTATTACTAGCTGATATCAATTCCATCTTGTATCAATTCCTGATGCCTGGAGAACTTTCTGTAATATATCAGGTATCTTGCATGTCTTTACCTTTATTTTTGAAAAGTATTTCTACTGGGTGTAGAATTACAAGTTGATGCCCTGGCTGGTGTGGCTCACTGGATTGAGTGCCAGCCTGTGAACCAAAAAGTCACCAGTTCAATTCCCAGTCAGGGAACATGCCTGGGTTGCAGGCTGCGTCTCCAGTTGGGGGTATGCACGAGGCAACAGATGAATGTTTTTCTTTTTTTTTTATTTTAATCATTGTTCAAATACAGTTTTCTCCTTTTTACTCCCAATTCAGTCCCTCCTCCCACCCTCCCCACTTCCCTCTCATTACCACCCTCCCCTTAGTTTATGACCATGTGTCCTTTAAGTTTGTTCCTGTGAACCCTTCCCACTGTCCCCTTAAATTCCCTCTTCTCTCCCATCCGGTCACCGTCAGCCTGTCCTCTATTTCAGTGTCTTTGGTTGTATTTTGCTTGTTTGTTTTGTTACTTAGGTTCCTGTTAAAGGTGAGATCATATGGTATTTGTCTTTCACTGGCTGGCTTGTTTCGCTAAGCATAATGTCTTCCAGCTCCATCCACGCTGTTGCAAAGGGTAGGAGCTCCTTCTTTCTTTCTGCTGCATAGAATTCCATTGTGTAAATGTACCATAGTTTTTTGATCCATTCATTTACTGATGGGCTTCTTGGTTACTTCCAGCATCTAGCTATTGTAAATTGTTCTGCTATGAACATTGGGATGCATAGGTTCTTTTGAATTGGTGTTTTAGTATTCTTAGGATAGAGTCCCAGCAGTGGAATTGCAGGGTCAAAAGGCAGATCCATTTTTAGTTTTCTGAGGAAGTTCCATACTGCTTTCCATAGTGGTTGTACCAGTCTGCAGTCCCACCAGCAGTGCACTAGGGTCCCCTTTTCTCCACAACCTCTCCAACACTTGTTGTTTGTTGCTTTGTTTATGATGGCCATTCTGTCTGGTGTGAAGTGGTATCTCATTGTGGTTTTAATTTGCATCTCTCTGATAGCTAGCGATATTGAACATCGTTTCATGTGTCTTTGGATTTTCTGTATGTCCTCCTTGGAGAAGTGTCTGTTCAAGTCCTTTGCCCACTTTTTTAATTGGATTCCTTGTCTTCTTAGAGTGCAGTCTTGTAAGTTCTTTATATATTTTGGAGATTAAACCCTTGTCTGAGGTATCATTGGCAAATATGTTTTCCCATACAGTTGGTTCTCTTTTAATTTTGATACTGTTTTCTTTAGCTGTGCAGAAGCTTTTAATTTTGATGAGGTCCCATTTGTTTATTCTTTCCTTTATGTCCCTTGCTCTAGGGGACACGTCAGTAAAAAAGTTTCTTCGTGAAATATCTGAGATTTTTCTACCTACGTTCTCCTCTAGGACTTTAATGGTGTCACGTTTCATATTTAAGTCTTTTATCCACCTTGAATTTATTTTTGTATACGGTGTAAGTTGGTGCCCAAGTTTCATTTTTTTTGCACGTGGCTGTCCAGTTCTCCCAACACCCTTTGTTGAAGAGGCTATTTTTACTCCATTTTATGTTGCTACCTCCTTTGTCAAATATTAATTGGCCATAGAGACTTGGGCTTATTTCTAGGCTCTCTGTTCTGTTCCATTGGTCTATGTGCCTGTTTTTATGCCAGTAACAGGCTGTTTTGATTACAGTGGCCTTGTAGTATAGTTTAGTGTTGGGTATTGTGATTCCTCCTACTTTACTCTTCTTTCTCAAAATTGCAGCAGCTATTCAGGGTCGTTTATAATTCCATATAAATTTTTGAAGTGTTTGTTCTATGTCTGTGAAATATGCCATTGGTACTTTAACAGGAATTGCATTGAATGTGTAGATTGCTTTGGGTAGTATGGACATTTTGATGATATTAATTCTTCCAATCCATGAACACGGTATATGTTTCCATTTGTTTGTGTCTTCCTTGATTTCTTTCTTCAGTGTTGTGTAGTTTTCTGAATACAGGTCTTTTACCTCTTTGGTTAGGTTTATTCCTAGATATTTTATTTTTTCTTTTTGCTATTTCAAATGGGATTTTTTCCTTGATCTCTGTTTCTGCTGTTTCATTGTTGGTGTACAGAAATGCCTTTTATTTCTGGATATTGACTTTGTATCCCGCTGTTTTGCCAAATTCATTTATTAGGTCAAGCAGTTTTTTTGTGGAGTCTATAGGGTTTTCTATGTATACTATCATGTCATCTGCAAACAGTGACAGTTTTGTTTCCTCCTTTCCGGTTTGAATGCCTTTTATTTCTTTTTCTTGTCTGATTGCTGTGGCTAAAACTTCCAGTACTATATTGAATAGAAGTGGTGAAAGTGGACAGCCTTGTCTTGTTCCTGATCTTAGTGGAAAAGATTTTAATTTTTGGCCGTTGAGTATGATGTTGGCTGAAGGTCTCTCATATATGGCCTTTATTATGTTGAGGAATGCTCCCTCTATTCCCACTTTGTCGAGTGTTTTTATCATGAATTGGGTGCTGTACCTTATCAAATGCTTTTTCTGCATCAATTGATATGATCATGTGGTTTTTGTCTTTCATTTTGTTTATGTGATGTATTACATTTACTGACTTGTGAATATTGAACCATCCTTGCATCCCTGGAATGAATCCCACTTGGTCATGGTGTATGATCTTTTTAATGTATTGTTGGATGCGGTTTGCCAGTATTTTGTTGAAGATTTTAGCGTCAATGTTCATCAGTGATATTGGCCTGAAGTTTTCTTTTCTTTGTTGTGTCTTTATTTGGTTTTGGAATTAGGATGATGTTGGCCTCATAAAAAGAGTTTGGGAGACTCCCATCTTTTTGGATTTTTTGGAATAGTTTGTGAAGGATAGGGGTTAGCTCTTCCTTAAATGCTTTGTAGAATTCACTGGTGAAACCATCTGGTCCCAGGCTTTTGTGTGTTGGGAGTTTTTTGATTACTGCTTCAATTTCTTTTGTTGTTATTGGTCTGTTCAGGCTTTCTGCTTTTTCATTGATTTTTGGAAGATTATATTTTTCTAGAAAGTTGTCCATTTCACCTAGGTTTTCAAATTTCTTGGCATACAGCTCTTTGTAGTAATTTCTTACAATCCCTTGTATTTCTGTGGTATCTGTTGTAATCTCTCCTCTTTCATTTCTGATTGTGTTTATTTGGGTCTTCTCTCTTTTTTTCTTGATGAGTCTGCTTAAAGATCAATGTTTTTCTTGAACATCAATGTTTCCCCCTCCTTCTTCCTTCCTTCCCCTCTCTCTAAAAATAAATAAAATCTAAAAATATATATATATTTAATAAAAAGAATTACAAGTTGACAAAATATTTTTCTTTCTTTTCAGTATTTAAAGATGTCATTTCATTGTTTTCTGGGATATCATTGTAGTTATAACAACACTTAAATGTCATCGTTTACTAGTTCCATCATATGTGTTTTTGGGGGTCATCTTAAATTTATTAATGTTTCTTGCTTTGGGTTGTTTTCTTGCTTTTTTAAATTGGAAGAGTTTTTAAATTAGTGAGAAACTGTCTACTGACTACATCATGAGCCAAATACTTTGCAAACTTCCCAAATGACATGAAAAAGAGAAAAGTTTTGGTAAGACAATGAGATTTGAGGAAAGAGGAGAAAAGAATTGACGTCCTTCCTTTCCAAAGGTAAGGGAAGTGGAGAAGCTGAGTAATGTACCTACCTCCTCAGCCACTGATCCAGGAATCCTCAGGGGGGATTCTGAGCAAATTCTTGATCCACCTTGAGTTTCTCAGCATGCCATAGGGAATTGAGTGTGAAAAATGAGTATTTTTTTTGTTTGAACTGTTCACCATTTATGATCATAGAGCATAGTTAGTGGAGATTAATTTTGCCTGTTTTGTCCTTTATTTAAAGAAAAGCATACAGCATTCTTTTATGCCTGGCTTTTTAGGCTCAACATAATGTTTCTGAGATTCATTCATATGTTGCATGTAGTTATAAACTGTTCATTCTCACTGCTTTAAAGTAGTCCATTGTATGAATGCACAAAAATGTATTTACTCATTCAACAGTTGATGGATATTTAGGTAGTTTCTGGTTTAAGGGTATTGCTAATATTGTTGTTATAAATATTCCAGAACATATCTTTTGATGAACATATGTCTGCCTTTTATTGGATGTATGCTTAGAAGCAGAATTATTAGATTCCATGATGTGAATATTTCACTTAGGTAGATCTTGCCCAATGGTTTTCCTACATGTTTGAATAAATTTACATTCTTACCAGGACTGTGTGAGACTTCTGATTACTTCCACATTTTGCTGACCTTCATAATTTCTTATACCTACTAAAATAGTCAACTAAGGAAATCTGTATCTCTTATGAATATGCAAGCTAAAGTTCTAAATAAAAGATCAGCAACTGCAATACTGACTTATAAGAAAAGAATAACACATTATGACCAAGTAGGTTTTATTCCAAGGACACAAGAGTGGTTCAATGTCAGCAACCCCACACACAATCTAGCTAGTCAACAGGTTAAAGAAGAATAATATATGACCATACCAAAAGATGCTGACAATTCTGCAACTGTTTCTAATGAAATCTCTTGGTAAAACAGGAAATAACTTATTTAATAATATTCTTCACTGAATAGTAACACAAATATTCTAAAGAACTAAATACTTGAATTATTTCAACTAAAATCAACAACAGAAATACCTATCACCATTTTCACTCAACACTATAATAGAGCTTTAGACAACAAAGATTCTAGAAAAGGATCTGTCAAACACTGGGGAAAAGTTCAAATATTTTTGTGAGAGTCATTATTACATTACCAGGGAAAGTCTGGAATTAACAAGAAAAATCTAGAAAGTATATTAATAAATTCGTTGTATTCAAGATAAGTACACAGAAAAAAATAGGCTTTTTATTTATAATAAGCTCTTAGAAATGGAAATGGGTTTTAAAATCCATTCACAATAATGACCAAAAAGCTAAGAAACAAGGATACATTTAATAAAAAAGATGCAGGACGTAAATGAAGAAAATGCTCAATACTTACTGAAGATGCAGAAAAGATCTGAGCAAACAGAGAGTGGTATGATTTTCTTAGTTCTTAGAAGACAATATCATGTGTCAAATTCCCCAAAGGTAATCTGTAAATTTCATGCAATTTCAACCCCTAATTGGGTAAAATTATCACAAACTTCAAATGCATGAGAATAGCAAAGAAAGGTAGTAAAAAAAAAAGCAGTAGGCAGGAGTGTGGGAGAGAAAAAGCTCTACCTTGCCATTTTATAAAGTCACTGTATACAAACATTGTAAGTCACTGTAATTGAATTCATATGATATTGCCATATGTAAAGAGAACTGAAAGTGAAACAGAAAGGTATATTGAAACATCCCATTATATACAAAAATGTAATATATGACAACCTTGGCATTTCAGTTCATTGGGAAAAGAGAGTTTATTACTAAAGAGTGAGGAAACAACTAGCAAACCACTTAGAAGAAAGTACAGTGGGATCCATCTCTTGTATTCAATACAAAAACAAATTCCAAACGGAGTAAAGACAAGTGTGAATGTCACCAATGGCAAACACCAAAAATAAAATGCAGAAGCTATTCTAGATTATACGTGCCACCTGGGGCTGAAGACCTTAATCAATATAGAATACTTTGAAATTTTTATATATTCACAAATGTCCATATATTGCAAAATAATAGAATATACTTGACTGTATACTAATATAAAGTTTTATATGGGAAAAGGAATTATAAATATGGTTAACAAATTATAGATTTGGGGGAAATTTGCAAATTAAAAGAAAGAGTTTATATACAATATACAAAGAGCACTTACAATTTTTTAAAAGACTGCAAATATGAAAATGTTAATAAAATAAAAAAATAAATGAAAAAGTAAAAACTTTAAATGTGAATACAAATATAAATATGCAATTCCCCTTAAGAGTAAAATCCAAATGGCTAAGTTTTCTATGGAAAACATACTGATTAATGCGGTCAACAGGCAACTTACAATAGTTAGAAAAAATGTTCGCAACCAAGAGTAGAAAGTCTCTATGTACTATACGAAAAGCTCCTACAAACTAGTTAAATGAAAAAGCCAAACACAATATAAACATGGACAAAAGTATGAATAAAAATAAAAGTAAATGTAAAGGCAGAAGCAAGAATATAAATATTTGTGGTAGGCAGAATCTGACTCCCAAGATCTTTTGCCACTGGATTACTCCCTTGACAATGTTACATTTACAGAGTACAGAGACTTGGCAGATGTGATTGAGGTTGCTAACCAGTTTACCTTAACATACAGAAATTATCTAGGTGGGCCTACCCTAGTCACATGAGCTCTTTAAAAGCAGAGAGTTTTCTCTTGGTGGTAGCACAAGAGAATACAGAAGGGTGAGCACAACAAGGGTCTAATGAATCCTTGATAAATTTGATGATGGAAGTGACCACCTGCAAGGACTAGAAAGTGACCTTCAGGAGCTGAGGACAATGCCTGGTGAACAGCCAGCAAGGAAACAGAGACCTCTGTCCTACAACTGCCCTGCACTCTAGACTTGCAAGAAATCAAATTCTGCCAACAAAATAAACTTGGAAGTGAATTCTTCTTCAGGGACTTCGGTTAAGAGTCCCACCTGGCACACACCTTCACTTCAGCCTTACTGGGCACCAGAGAGCCCAATCAAGCCTGCGTGAAGCTCTAACCCACAAGAACTATGAGGAAACATGAATTTTGTTTTAAGCTGCTAAGTTTGTTGTAATTTGTTATACAGCAATAGAACACTAATGCAATAGTAATTTAATTGTGAGTGAAATTCAAATGACCAAAGAACATAGGAAAAAATGTCCAGGTTTTCAGTGGTCAGGAAAATGCAAATAAAGCAACACTGGGGAATCACTATACCCATTAAGAGGCTTTAAACAAAAAAATACAATAGCTACTACTGGTGGGTATAAATGGTAAAGACTATTGTATACACTTACTGAAGGACATAAATTGTACCCAACTTTTTGGGAAACAGTCTTGTCAACATGTGTTAAAAACTTCAAATCTACATATCCCTCAACCGAGCAATCCTTCCCCGGGGACTTTTTAAACCACCATGGTTGTGAGTATGTCCGCAGTCACAACTGCCATCATTGGAAAAAATCTGGTAACAAAGTAAAAGCCCACTGGTAATGGAATTTTAAGTTATCAACACAGAGTACTATACAGCATTAAAAAGAATGCAGTAAGAGCTATGAGATAGACTTGGAGGGGTTTTCATAACATATTGTTGGATGAGAAAAGATGCAGGGAATATGTATAACCCAACTTATCTAAAGCAAACTGACCCGCCAAAAAAAATCCCCACCTTTTATTTATAAGATTGTGTATATTAAGAAATTCAAAATAAAGCTATGTATATATGTAGATTTATAAGGTGCTCATAATACACATAAAAATTTAAAAGCAAGTTGCAGATTATGGGTAGAAGACAAAACCCCAACCCCGTATGTAGTATGTGTATCCGTATTACTACGAACAGCAGCAGACATGATATTGGGCTACTACAAGGGAGGTGGGGTGAAATGGGACGGTGGGTTATTAGCTCTGCATCATGCCCTTTATTATTCCATTTATTGCTTTTGTGTTCTTTTAATTGTATTACAGTTCTCTTAATTTGCATTTTTATAATCTGAAAAACATAAAATCATCTCCCTCTCACGCTTCATTTTTCCTCAGCACTTACCACTAATATTCTATATATATTATGTGTTGTTCCCCTGCCCACAGGAATGGAAACTGCATCCGGTAAAGAATTTTGTTCACCACTGACACCAGCACCAAGAACTGTCTGGCACAAAACAGGCACTCAGATATTTGAGGAAAGCAATGCTTTATGTATAATAAAGTAGTCTTCAGGACTACTCTCCGTGTTCATTTAAACCTTATTTCTCTTAAAAACCTGATATTCTAGACGCTATTGGGAGTGCGACAGAATCACATGGTTAAGAAGTCTGAATTCAAGGAGTGAATAAATTATTTGCTGGATGCTTATTACTGCCTGATTTTATCAGGTGTTTTATTTGTTACCTCAAACCAATCTACTTTTTAGGTAGATCTATAATCCCCATTCCATAGACAAGGATCAACTTGGAAGAGTAAGCTTGTCTACAATGTCACAATAAATGTCCTCTGGGCCAAAATCCTGTTCTTTGCTATGTGCTGTGTTGATCTTAGATGAATCATATTTGAGTTTTTAAAAAAAGAGATATAATTTTACATGCTATATAGATTTCATATTCTGAGATTTATTTAGTTGAATATTTCATTCTGTTGATTCACTACTCTGTTGATGATTCTATTAAGATTTTAAAAGGCATTTGACTGTGAAATAGAATTATCTACTCTTAACTTGATTATTTTGCCCCTGAAGCAGTTAAGCTGTTCAGCTCAAGGCCACAAGCCACCTGGGCTCTGCTGAAGTGTAGCCGCAAACCAAGACAACACTGAACGTACTCCTAGGTGAGTTAACAGACATTAAGATAATTACCATCAAATCTTCAAGACAACCAGCAGCCCTGAGAACATTCTGAAAGATTTTGTCCCAGATTCCTCAACTCCAAAGCAAGCTCCCCAGGGGAATGCCTGTTTTGACAAGCTTCTACTGGAGCTTCCTTCCTCCGTGGCTTGAGGACAACTCCTTGTCCCCCATATGCTTTGCTCCAAGGCAGGCACAAGGAGGGCGTTGCCCTGGGCACTGTTGCTACCTCCAGGTGAGTCCAAATCCCTCCTCACTTTAAGGTACAGACAGACCTCAATTTTAGACTCAGTTCCACAGATTTAAACATATTTGAGAGTGTCTAGGGACTGGCAGGGTTTTGGGGTTTTTTTGGTCTTTGAGGAACTGTATATTTTGGAAATGTATTCTCTGATTACTCAACCAACAAATATTCACTGAGTACTTCCTATATGGTAAGGCACCAGGAGAGGTGCTAAGGGGAATATATATTTAATTAAAAAGAAAAAACAACACAAACACTCTGGTCCCTGCCTCAAGCAGATTATAGAGACTAAAGCAAATAGCCATGAACTGTTTTATTTTGTTAGTTGACAAATGAGCAGTACTTAATATGTAAAATCTGAGCTGAGGATAGGGTAGAATCAAGGCATTCTGAATAAAACCCATCACATTATGGGCTACCCATACCTCAAAAAAATTCAATACTTTAAAAGATAATATGAAATAAATTTTTATCTTCCTTGCCAATTTTTGTACTCAAAATAATTTCTAAAAAATCAAACAAAATAAAACTTTTGTGTTTACATTCACAACACAAATCTGCCTGGATCTGTGTACAATCCTCAAGTTCAAAAGTGAAATCACTTCTGCCTCCAGAAAGCAATGTTTTAAAGGAAAAAAAAAAGTATGCTTGCCAGCTTTGTTTTTTTAATTGGAAAAATTAAGACATGTGTTCCTAGGTATCCTACAGCAATGAGAAACAGGAGCTTATAGTCTTGCTTGTTCAGAGGACTCTTCAAAAGGAGTAAGCTAAAGTCTGAACGTTTTAGATTTGGGAGAAAGCCTGATTTCTCCGACCATGAGACAATGAAACTGAACAGGTGCTATTTCATCAAAGAACAAAGCTTTCACTTAAGTAAATTGATTGTTAAAGGGTACTTTGGTTGTACCTGCACACTTTTAAAATCCATGCATGGCAAATAGGTTGAACTTAACCTTAATGTTGTTAGCTCTGAGGGGGACACTACTATTAGCATTGTTAGTATCTTAACATTCCATTCATTTTAATGGACCAAATGCATAAGGTTCCATGTTTACCTGTAAGCCACACACAAGACTATTGCTTTTCCTGTCAGCAAAACGCTGAGACATTTACCATATAGAAAAGCATTCCTACATAGCAGTTGGGTATTGGGTGCATGTGTATAGGAGTGTTATTGATCAATGACAGTCAAAAGATACGTGAGATCATTGAGTTTCTTCTTAAATATACCTTGAGTGAAATTACTCCATCAACAGGATATTCTAAAATATGTAGGTTCAACTCTGTAGAAAAAGATGTAAACATCTGTTTTAAATGCTTTTAAAAGCACTCAAAGTCATTCAAAACAGAACTGATCCAATAGAAAGGACTCTCTCATCTTTTCATGCGACCATCACGGACATCACATGTGGATGTTTCTAACACGTCTAGTCTTCATTCTGACATGCAGATGGCATGGCATTCCTGGGCCTATGTCAATATAGCTTCCTAAAATGTAATCAAAGCTGTGTTGTCTTGACACTTTACCAGGGGGCGTCAAGAGAATTCCGATTATTTCCTAAAATCCTTTAGATAACAGGAAGCAATGACAAGTCAGAATTGGAATCACTCACTTTTAGAGGTCAAAAAGACCTCAGAGGTCAGCTTTCCAAGCCATTCAGAGAGAAAGGGAGACACTGGGTGGTGGGCCTTTCCTTCTCAGTGTGGTACTTCTTTCCCCACACCCCTGCCCAAGTTAGCCGGCACCCAAAGTAAACTTTCTGATGAAATTTCTTTTGCTCTAAGGTAAGTTAATCTTGTTCATGAAAAATTTCTGCCCTGGTGCCACTCCCATAAAGAAGTAATTAAACGTTAATATACTTCAATATTGCAGCACATTTTATATACATCATGAACATTTTTATAACTCACGCTTAACATTAAATTTTGTTCTCTATGAAGCTTTTAATTAACATTTTTCAGTACGAGACTCTCATTTGTGGGTGTCCTTACCATTACCCTTAATTTGATGCTATTATATGAGGTAATTCAAAAATATCTTTGGTTTGAGGTTATAGATTGGGAACCTGGTATACGCACTGGATCTTACAAGGGCATGAAAAACTTTGGCACATGAATTAATAAATACTAACTCTAGTACTCCAAGTGCTATTTAACAGATGTTTTCCTGTGGGCTTTCCTTTACATCACTGGATTAATTATCTCTTTAAAGAGGCACATAGGGAAAGTAATGTAGAGTTAGGCATCTGGACCAGTCTTCATGTAAGGTGAATGGCTGAGTTACCAAGGACAGAATTTCCTATGAAATAATCCCTTCCAATTAGCAGTATATGGCCGACACTGTTTACCCAGATAATCAGATCCGTCTTCAACTCTTACCACACCACCATTACCTTTGGTCTAATAACAACTAGGACTAACACAGGGGTTAAGGGTTGGCAGGAACTAAGTGAAATTTGAAGTGAGTCATTTTTTTTGTTTAGTGGATTTTGGACTGTTTGGTTTTCAAAGTAGGAAAAATACACTAAGTTAAAATGTGTGTTCCAGAAAATAACAATTCCGTTTTTTCAGAGCTGTATATCGGTGCTCCTTCTAGAACCAGAGTGTCCCATGCATTGGTAACTAAGAAATAACAAGTTGTAGTCATGTAGGGTACTCCACAGTGGTGGTGCTGGGTTAGACAGTGCTGCCCACTCCCAGGTTTCCTAGAGTACACCCCAAGTGCCATGACAATTGCGGGACCCCTCAAAACCTCAGTGGCTGTATTGGGAAACCCAATCCAAGTAAGAATACCACCCTGAACCTGGGCTGGCCCCAGGGGTCCACCGGTCCATGAAAAACTTGGGAGTCCTATTGACCTTCTGAGCTAGAGTAGTCTAAAATAGCTCTAGACAAATATGTCTCAGTTCTCATTAAAAGGAACAAAAGGGACATTTCTGACACTACTGAAAAATATGTATACACCAAAGGTATATACTTATTGCTACAGCAGCATTCAAAACATCGAAGAACAATGGGTAGGTTTCAAGGGCACCAGAAGGGGTATCATTTAGATTCCATACAGTATTGTGACTCCAGATTGGAACAGAGTTTGGGGCAGGGAAGCCTTTGAAAACATAATGTTGATCTGAAGGAGCAAGGGAAAGGAAAAGGCTAATGCTTGTCTGTTAAGTAGCCAAATAAGGAAAAAATAAATAAATTTATATACATGCATATATAATTTTTAAAAATTATATAACTGAACACTTGAAAAAAATAAGCCCATGTCCCTGAAAGTACCGTTGATCCAATCTTAAGGGGTATTTTTCACTTCACTGGCCTTCCAAAGGTCCAAACTCTCTATCATGATAAACTCCTCCACCGTTCTTACAATTAATAGTTAAGTATGGTTCGTTATTTTGGATTCACAGCTACTTTGTCTAACACCCTTTTATTTCTCTGTACCCCTCTAGCAGCACCCAAAATAACAAAATCAGGTTGCATTAAAAGTATTTTTAACTGCAAATATGCTAGATTCCAAATCTGACACATATTTCAATTCATGAGACACCTATAGCACATTATCTATATTTGTATACTTTATTTAAAAACAAGTAATACACGTAGAGCCACCAAAAAAGGATATCTTAATTAGCTTATCTATACCCTGAATTTACAAAAGAAACTTCTTGCACCACAAAGATTAGCATTTGGATTAATTTACATTAATTGATATTATAACTGATATTTAAAATACCTGAATATCAAACAATCTGGCCCAGGGTTCACCAGTTTGGGCGGGGGCGGGGAGGGGGGAAGAGGGGGTAGCATGTGGAAAAAAGGAGTTATATAGGAATCTGAACTGATGATGCCCTGAGGTCAGCTCTAGTAAACTGAAGTCGAGAACACATAAAATAACCGATAGGTTTCAGGACTACAAATAAGTGGTTCCTCCTAAAAACAGTTACTAGACCATACAGTTGGGATGAGTGTAGGGGATAACTCTTCATGGGGATTGGAAAACCGTGTGGAGAAGGGGGGTTGTATTTGTTTCTCACAAAAGGCAAACTTCAGCCAAACAAGAAAAGGGGAGGGAGGGAGGAATGCGACACACTGAAAACTTTCTGCTCGCTGGTAACACCAAGTTAAGCAGCCCTCTCTCCAAGTCAACTAAAATACCATTCTTGGAGACATTTTCAGAAAGGAGCTAATATACAACCAGAAAAAATCATTCTACATAAACAAGGCACTCACTGGTTCACAGCCTGTTAAAAACCCAGGCAGACATTACAGTTAACCTAAATTAAAATGAACTTTCTAATTTGCATCAGAGGGATGACAAACATGTGGTCCCAGCTAAATCAAATCTAAAGCTTGATCAGCAAAGATCCAGGAAATTCTGACCCCTAAGCACTACTTCAGGAATGCTGCTAGAATAAGTAAGTGGGATCTAGGATCTCTGATTGGCCTAATACTTGTTTTAAGAATAATAAAAAAAAAACCCTGATGCAATCTGTTAGTTTGTCAACCTTCTGTTCCTTATAGTGACATGGAGACCCAGTTGGATAATGAATCTGGCCAATTAAAAAGCCTTCACTGGCAAAGGTAAAAATTATTTCAATCATTTACCAATGACCTATCTTCTGTTTCTAAACACAGCTGTTAGTCTTCTGGACCATCCCCTAAAATGAACTTTGGGAATTGATACACTTCACAAAAATATACATATAATTTCTGCCAACAACTACTTTTGTACAACCTGACTCCCAGTGTCAAACACTTAAAAGTCTGCAATTATATAAATAACTAAACAAGTAACAGTAACAGAGGCAACTGCTAAGTAAATACAACTAATGATTATGTACTTAATTGCCTTGAAATAGTTTCCAAAGAGTAAAGTAAGCTGAAGAAAATTATACTTAGAGCTCTTTTTCCATATAAATTCATTAACAGTTTGGCTCTTGGTTGAAAACATCACACAGACATATATACTAATCAGAGATTAACTATCTTAACTATCAATATCAATGATAAATTTTAAGCAGTTCTTTCCAAAAAAAATCAAAATTAATTCTATGTCTTTCAATCTGATTTGTGACATCTTAGTTCAATATAACTTAAAATGACAAAGCCTGAGAAAAGCACCAACATAGATTTTTAAATTGCATCCAACCATCATTTCAGATGTCATAAAGGTTTGCTTTCGTTAAAATGGCAGCAATGACAAAGAGGTAGATATGAAAGATGCCATTTAAATACTATTCTTAGGTGGAATTTTAACTAGTTCTGGTGTTATCTAAAAATAATTTTTACTAGTTGAATGTCCATTACATAAGAATTTCATGACATGATCTTGTATAAGGGGGAAATATATGAAATACTAAAAAAAAATGAGTTTTTAAAAATTACATTTACTTATCCAACATGAATGAGACCCCATAATTTTGGTGAGCCAATAATTTCCCCTTTTACCTGAACTTGACTATAATGAAATAAAGAGTTATTTTCTTCACTATTAAAATATTTAGGAATTCACATTCAGAATTCTTGGAAAGTATAAACGGTGCTCAGAAGAGCACAAAGACAGCGCATGAAATGTCCCCTGAAGTCCTAGACGCTGAGCAGATACATTAAAAAGACATTACGGTCACAAATTGGGACCTTCACAGATTGGGGCATGCACACACACACACACACACATTACACACACACAGTTGTCCTCGCTCTCTCTCCCCCTCCCCCCCAAACTCAGTCCTCATCCTCACTGTAAGGCTGCATTTGTGGGTTTTTTTAAAGGCACCTCTCTCTCTAGCTATTGCCTTCTTGATGATACCTGTTTTTGTTAAAAATCCTGAATGTTTGATGGAAATAGTTCAGTACTGAGATTGAAATATTTTTCAATTCACATTTAAATAGCCAAGTTTTCTTACATTCAGATTTTAATAAACTAGAATGACAGTCTTTAAAACAAGCATGCTAGCCTATAATGAATATCGTATTTACAGTCATTTAAACATTTGGAACTCTGTATATTATACGGCAGAAGCAAACAGCACAACACCCATCACACTCCTCTTTACCTGCTGTGTACACTACCTCCAAAAATGAAAATACAAAACAGTAAAATGCACCTATGGTTTTATATATATATATATATATAGCCTATATATATTATATATATTCCTACAATATATATAATATATATTTATAAAATTTACATACATTTTAGACATTTTCAAATAAATCTTCATCCTCTCCAACAGAAATTTATAACAATACTGAAGGAATGAAAGTCAGCTAAACAAAAAATTTCTCACAAAGTTCATTATCAGTGATGCAGCTCAATTTCTTCCCTTTTAGTCATAACTAAAATGATTATAAAATCTAAATACTTTGCATAACGAATTATCTATTTAATGGCAAAAATTGATAAACCTGTTCAATAGAAAAATACTGAAGGTCATTATACCACTTATGTTAAATATCAATCTATGGTCCGAGTAGCAAATGAGCTCCATATGACAGCTGAGTTTTGAGAAGGGTGCTGTGAGCTCCCAGAGATGTACACAGCATATGAAAATAAGGCAGGAACCCACATCTCTTGATTTTCATACTATTCCAATACATTTCATCCAAAATATTTACAAACCAAGCCCTATGAAAGCATTTCAATGACTGTTCAAATCATGGGGTTTTTTTTTTCATTTTGTGAATTTTGCTCGCCTTTTCAATAGGCTGAGGGAAAAATCAGACACGTGTATATGTTTTTATCAGACTGGAAGGCAGCTTTGGCTCACTGCTAGGCTGCTCTCACACAGCACTAGTACAGAAGAATCTCTGTTTCTATGTACAGTCTCCAGAGGCACAGCACTGGCTTCCTAAGGAACCTTCAACAGGTCCATCATTTGCACTATGGTCTACATATCTCTTGGTTGTTTTTCACTCACTACCAGAAAAATTTCAACCATGAGGTATAAAATGTAGGTGAAGAGAGAGTCTTGGCTTTGAGAATTTCAGTGACATAAATAAAGGTGGTACTGAAGATCTTTAATTACCTTGGAAGGTAATTAAAGCAATAACTGGTAGAACAATAACTTTGCAGTTGTCCATCATAAACATGCCAAGGGTGGGCACCTGGCTAGAATTTTCCAGTATCCTTCTGCAAATGTTAGGCTAGCAACACCATTACTTTACTCTGTGAAGAACCAAAGGAGGAATTTACCAGACACAATGTGGAATGCCATATGTGCCTGGGAATATAAACATTCACCTGGTATGGAGCTCGGCCACGATGTGGTAGCTCATGTCCAAGTCAATTCATCTGACTACACAAAAGAGTCCCTTGAGCCCAGTGTTAACCAAAGCACAGATGAAAGGACCAGGTATCTGTGTCAAAATATTAAAGCATATTTGTATAACAACCAAGCAAATTTAGCACAGGCCCTTCACTTTAAAGATACTTTGCCTGTAAACTGAAGAATTCTAGAAGCAGACAAGCAGAAATTTTAAAGAAAAATTGTCAATTATCATCCACATCAATGCCAGAATAATTCTTCAAGGAGTACATATCATTAGAAGTGCAATTGCTATGACAATGGAATATGTGGGGATAGGAATGTAGGAATTGTACTAAAAAGTTAGAATATTTATGGACATGTATTTTTTTTAAAAGTCTGAAAGCCTATTATATATACATTTTGCCGAAAAGTTGGACATTAGTAACTTATTTCCAATTTCTAGATTGGTCTCTGACATTGTGAGCAAACAAGAGAGTGCGAGGAGAGGGGGGGGGTGCAGGGACGACGTCTGTGCCCCAGGGTCAGGGAGCAGGGTCACGGGCATCCCAAGAGCCGACAGAACACGTTGGTCAGAGGCAAGGGGCTCAGGGAACCCTGGTCCTTTATGACATGGTTCCCCAGAAACGACACTGACTCACTGCCCATGAAAACATGCCGTGTTTTAAATTAAACAATGGATGAGGGGTAGGGAGGGGAAGAGAGAGAGAAAACTATTTATCCAATATTATACACTGAACTCTTCCATCCAGCTTTTCAAGAGGTTCTTCTTATTGGAGATGCTAATAGAGGACTTCTGGAGTATAAAACATTTGCTTTATTTAGTATGTTTGTAAAAGTAGCTCACTGAGATTAACCATACCCCTTGCACTGTTAAAACATAATTATGAACCATTTTTTGGTAGGTATCAGATAATTTGACTGTGAGAGACAAAAGGAAAGTGTAAAGATCATCCGAGATGTGGTTATGTGGGTTTTGAGGAATGAATACTTGCAAATGACTATAATCTCTTCAACCACTGAAAAGTTAAGATTTTATCAATATGAAATAATCACTCTGATACTATAAATATCATGAATAAAGTGAATTTTAAAATTAATAGAAATTATTATAAAGATATGCCCTGCTTGCCCTTAAAAATAAACAGAATCTTACACCTGAATTAAGTTAAATCCTTTAGTAAAAGCAGAGTCTATCAACTATTCTTCATAATGTTGAGTGTTTTTGACAGTTAAACTTTAGAATGGTACCAAATGCACTTTCAAAAATGTAATACAATATAGATATCTGCTTACAAACTGAATGTTTAGCATTTCTGAATAATAATATATTTAACATATTATTGCATTTCTTTTTTCTTCCCTAATAGGTAAAATGCTTTGCCAGGTGCTTTATGTGACCAGCTGAAAGGAGAGCTAAATTAAAAACTCATTTTAACACTGCCTGGTCATTATGCATACAGAGATTAGTTCAGCAGATATGGTAAAGATTAATGTTTTGACTACCTAATGTGTTTAACAAGATTTCTCAGGGGAGAACTAGGGCTAAATTTCAGCTTTTCCTCTATTCATTCCCAGCCATCAAGCTTTTTAATTATCCTTTATACTGTGCCCCATTTACTCAATAGGGGACAAGCTAAACCTATGTTCGCTCAGGCCTGCCTAGCGAATTAGAACAACTTTAGAAATAAAAATTCCTACTTTGGGAAAAATTTGAAACAGTTTCAGGCTCACAGATTCAGCTGAGCTTGCAGCAAACTGAACAAACCTTAGTTTTAGAAAACAGTATACGAATTGCAAAACTATACTTTAACAAATGTTCTCTGTGCTCCTTCAGCAGAACAAAAGGGCAAAAGGAGTTGATTCTTGCCCTGGTCTCTTGTATCTCTTTTGTGCAGTCGATTATTTATAAAGAGCTAGAAGGTGAAGAGGATGCATTCTGTCATACAAAGACTTTAGCTAGTGCATCAGCTCCAGCACTGGCTATATAGCATTTGGATGGGTGGAAAGCTACATCATGAATTGATTCTTCAAACTTTTTCCGATGAGCTGTGAACTCTTGGATACATGTCTTACTTTCTAGGTTCCATAAACGTATTGAACAGTCATGACCTACATCAAAAGAAAAGAAATTGAAAGGAAAAATTACATTAACATGAAAATGATAAGAACAAATAAATAATACATAGTTGATGTACTTACTGCCAGACATCAAGTACAGGCCATTAGGATCAACTGCTAAACTTGTAACAGCTTCTAGGTGGGCTACCATCGAATGGATCAGTTTGCCTTTGGAAAAAGAGATCATTACTCTTTATTAATAGCTTTCCTCATCCTGAATATATGCCAATTACCATATTACACTGGTTTCTCCAGTCACCCCTTTCTGTGTACTTACTGCATCAACAGCTTTTTTTCATCAGCTAAAACAACAGTGTCTTTCCCCACTCTAGCCATGGTAATGATGGGAAACAAAAGCTCAAATTCCAGATTATATTTTTGTCTTTCAATCACAATATAAAAGTCAGTAAACCATGTGCATTAACTAGAACTCAAACATTAACCATCTATTTTGTATCCTTTAGCTGCAGGCAAATTATATGGATTATGGGAACAGAAGAAGAGACTGAGACAAAGACAGAGAACAGAGAGAAAACCTCGCCACAACTTTGGTAGAAGCAATATATAGAAAGAGGTTGAGAATATTAAATTACTCATCATTCACAGCTAAGCAAAGTCAGCAAAAGTCAACATAGTTACAAAGCCAAGTGCAGACAGTCAGGTAAATACGGCTGGTAACACAGTGTTGTTCTCCCAGCAGAGGTCTTCATGCATTTCCACTGGACTAATGAAATGTAATCCAGAAAAAACCGGGACAGCCCCAATTCAAATCAATTAGGAACAAACAGGATTATAATGCAAAAAAGATCAGTCCATGGAAAAATGAATTAAATAAAACCAAAGGACAGGGGTTTTCCATCTGAACATTAAGGCTATTCAAAAATTGAATAATTTCAAACAAAATATAATGATCCTATGCCTTTACTTCTACTTTCCTCCAGTAGTTTCACAGTAAACGATCATTTTTATTGGTATTTGAATGAAATTTTTGTTGTGTTCCTAGTGATAACCTTGACTCCAGGGCCAAAATATAGCATGTACTTACTATTAAATAAACCGAAATAACTCTACATGCTATATGACAGATAGTTCTTAGCAGATTTGGATGACATAAACAGAAACTGAGCTGGGAGAGTATCTGTGCTTCAACACCTATTCCCTGACGATGGAGTCACGAACAGGCACCAAAATCAGCCTACTTATAGTGGAGGGTTTTTTTTTTCTTTAACAATAATCAATTTTTATTAAATTTTTACCTGTATTGTTATCATAGAATTTGATGTGCCTGTCTTCATGAGCAGTGATGCTGATGGGAAGAGTGGGATGGCTGATGACTCTATTTATTTGGCAGGAAGAGTTGGCGGCTTAAAAATAAAAAATGAAAGACAATACAAATTAGTCAAAGCTACTATTTCTTCCCACGAAAGAAATGAATACTCCCCTAAGAGACTGAGAAAGTAAAGGTGATTTTAATTTGTTTTTAGTTCATTTATTCTGCAATTGTGTTCATAATTTCAGTGCTAGGAAATGACAGTTGCCTGAGCAATGCTATACTGACAAACCCAGAGCTACCTAAGTAGAATTTCCTTTTCCACCACCTGTTGTCTATGGGTTCCACCTATGGCTTAGCCTAGAGCCAGTGCTGTTTCTCTTTCTATAATGTTCTGTGATATTTCTGCTACTTTTAAAAATTCCGTCCTTACTTGTACATAATTCTCAAACTTAAATCTCAACCAGTTCTAGATACAGAGCTCTTTATTACATGGTTATCATGTAAAGATACACAAGACAGAGTTCCTTAACATTTTAACTTTCTTTTTTCATCATAACAGAAATTCACCATCTAACAATCAAACACATCTGGAATCTTAAAATAGTAAGCATGCCAAAAGGACTTATGCACCACTTAACAGTTTTTGAAAAGACTGCAATTATATGCACATTGGGACAGGTTGGACATACGTCATTAAACACATAATCACAGCGCACGCATGAACCAAGGTCCAGAAAAAGTCGTGACTCGCCCAAAATCATATAACAAACTCAGTAACTATTCTGATTGCTACATCTATCCCAACCAGACAGCTCATGCAAATCAGACAACTGCCAAAACTGGTACCTATACTATCATGAGTTCTTCCTACAAGTCTTCTAGCAGAAAAAAATCAGTAAGAACTTAAGTTTAATTAGTAATTTATGTTAATATATCTTTTATAAGGAAAAATGTACATAAAGGTAACACTAATTTAACACATGTCAGAGTTACAAAAATGCATTATATGATCCAGGGAGAGGAAGGGATGTCCTTATAAAGTGCATTACTGGGACAACTGGCAAATTTGAATGTAATAGACAACAGCATGTGTCACTGTTAAATTTCCTGATTTTGGCAATGTAATGTGCTATGGCAGAGAATGTACTTGTTCTTAGAATTACATGCTAAAGCAGGAAGCCCCAAACACCAGAACGCAGACCAGTACCGGGCCATGGCCTGTTAGGAAGTGGGCTACACAACAGGAGGCGAGCAGGAGGTGAGCAGCAGGTGAGCGAGTGCGGCTTCGTTTGCATTGCCGCCTGAGCTCTGTGCCTCCTGTCTCCGTTCCTCCACCCAGTCTGTTCCTCCACCCAGTCCGTGGAAAACACTGTCTTCCTCGAAACCAGTCCCTGTTCCAAAGGCTGGGAACTGCTGTGCTAACTAAAGTCCGTGGAAAACACTGTCTTCCTCGAAACCAGTCCCGGTTCCAAAGGCCGGGAACTGCTGTGCTAACTAAAGGATCAAGGAGTACAAGAGTACGATGTTTCTTAAGTGGTTCAGAATTTTAAATTATACGCATATATGGAGAGTAATAAAGCGAATGTGACAAAATGTAGCAAATATTAAAAATTGATGAATCTGGGTGAAAAATAGTCAAAAGTTATATTATATTTTTGAAAATTTTCTGTAAACTTAAAATGAATACAGAATGAGTTTAAAAACAATTTTTAATCAGAATAGATATCATGAATTTATATTCACATAATAGAAAACATAGGTAAAAAATAGTGGTAATATTAGCCTACTCTATTGGATTTTCCTACGATTCCTAGAAATATGACACCTTCAAAACTGAAGATAGTTTTTCCCCATGCTAACAGTAGGCAGCCACCCAAAGTGCCACCTAAATACACAACGAAAAGTCACTTGACCACGCGGAGTAAGCTTTGGGTCAGTTACATCCAATTTAAATGGTTCTATACAAAGTATTTAGTTTCAAAATTCAGCCTATGGAATTTTTTTTTTTTTGCCTCCACAGATAACACACCATTGAATTATATCCTCTTAAGACCTAGCAGGAGAATAATGACAAAAAAGAAGCATTTTAATTAAAATATCCAATATAATCTGAAAGAGAAATTTCTGTGAATAGCTTCAATTACTTTGAAATCTAGGAAATAAGTGATAGAAATCAAATGATGGAAGTAGACAAAAGAAAGTTGTTTTTTAGCAACTTATAAGGAAGTTTCTCCACTTGAACAGTAAATCAGACAAGTAAGCAAAATGCAAAGAACACTAAAAATAAACTGAAGGCCTACCAGCCATCATTCTAACAATGAATTAAGACAATCCTCCAAATATATTTAAATTGCAACTCAGAAATGGCTTACCTTTTCACTGTGTTCACAAGCACCCAATTACCTGCTTCAATTACTTGTGACTTTATCACAGTCAAATTACCATTGACATCAATGAGAAGAAAGATAATTTAATCTGATCATAACAACAAAAATCCTTCATCGTTTTAAACTCTATATGAAATTCATTTTCACTCTGAAAAATGTTTGGTCTGAACTTTAATTTTTTTAAAAATCTGCTAAGTTCCAGAATAGAACAACATAGTCAAATATAAATAGCTACGGGGTAGTCACAGTAGAAAGAAATAAAAGACTAAATTGAGTTTGTTTTATACAACTTTGAAGTAATAAAACTGATAATTTAGGAAATGCCAGGACATATTTAACTCAAAATCATTATCACTTATTCCAATACAACTGCCTTTGTACAAAACATTATGGGCAGCTTTCTGCAGCAAATGCTTCCTTCCAGGTTCAGGAAAAAAGTCATGTGATATTATAGTCACATGTTTTGAAGAAAAAAATAGAATCTCACTCACCATACTTAATGTCTAATTTGTAGAAGTCACTGAAAAATCAACATTTACCACTCAAGACAGTAACTCAAAGAGAATTACTACTCAAAGAATTAACTACAATCTCTAAAGGTAATTCTAAAAATGTTCACATTCTCCTTAATTTCATATTGGGTTTTTACTTTACTACTGTCGCTTTAGGTCATGTATTAAATGTGATTTTAAATTCACTGAGAGTCTAAAACCTACATTTATTGGCAAAAAAAATTCAATTTTTGCTATTCCATAATCTCAATTTTGATTTTTGGTCTCTTTTATATCCAAATACAATAGTTCAAAGCTCTGTTCATGCCTTCTTCCCCAAACAATTCTCACAGGACACCAGAAGAAACAACGGACAACATATTAGGAAGAGAAAATAAAACCAAGGTGAAATGTAGGAAATCTGGGGGAGAAAAAGGCAGAAGGAACATACACACACCATAATAATTATTTTGAAAGCTAGCTCTCAGATTAAAATAATAATTTATGTGTATGTAAGTTTTCTTTATCAACTGCTACCTGAACTGTGATTGTCTGGGTTAAGCCTAAAGATAGAAAGTAAAGGTTAAAAAGTCCAAAACAAACTAGTTCTGTAATATCTTCTTTACAATCTGTAAAATTATTTCCTGACTTCATATATCCAATAAGAAACCTCAGGTTTGGGATTTTAAGAGGCACAACTTGACCTATACTCTAATCAGTAATGAACTGTGTCAAATTATATTAATAATATAAAATTTAGTTGATTTAAAAAATTAAATTATGAGAAATGAAAAATATTTTATATTCAGAATATACATTTTCTTTAAACAAAATTAAAAATATAATCTGGCACAAAATTAGCTTGAGTCTTTGGAATAGCTCAAATGCTATTTCAAATAGTGTAGTTATAAATGTGCATAAACTTAACCCAAAGACTTAAAACCAACAGTAAACTATTATATCCTTCTAAGTAACACATTCTGTGGTTTAGCAAGCAGAAGACTTTGTAATGACAAGTATTTTTCATAGATGACTCTAGTAGTTATAATTTTAATGACATTTAAAAATTTATCCAAACACAGACTATGGAAATACTATTATACATACTCATATCTACATTGGATTCTAAAGTCAGAATGCGTTGCTGTGTTTCCATGTTGAAGATGCTTGTATATCCTTTGCTGAACGATGCTACCATATGGCTCGGGTCACTGCTCACTAGATCCACAGAGGCAGGGATTCCCAATTCTACAACAGTCAGAACATATTCAAAGAGAATAATAATCAGAGGGTCTACTTAACAATGTTTAAAATATAGCAAAACAAATAGCAGCATGATTTCCTTAAGAGTAAATGATGTTTGATATTAGGATCAGAATTTGCTTATTGCCACTCAACGTAGATTTCATTACTCTTACCTGTTCAGCACATCTTCTACCTGTTATTCAGCTAATACATATATGGAATGCAAGCGTTTATTCAAAAAATAAATGGAAAACATGTATGGACTACAAGTTTTGTTGCTTTTATCTCAACGTGGGGCTCAGAGTAGCATCGTGGGAATTCTTCCTTCTAAGGGCTCATCTCTTATTAGGAATTCTAACTTATCAAAAACATGGAATTTAAGAAGTAAATTCCAAATTGTTATCGGTAGTCATGAAAATATCAAATGCAGGCAATTCAGCCTGGCCGGGGAGCATCATCCCAACACACCAATTTTGCAGGTCCAATCTCCAGTCAGGGCACACACAAGAATTAACCAGTGAATGCATAAATAAGTAGAACAACAACTCACTCTCTCTCTCCTTCTGTCCCTCTCCTCTTTCTCTAAAATTAATCAATATGTTGTTTTTTAAATGCAAGTAACTCATCAAAACCTAGACAAGTTATCACAGCTAAAGAATAAAGGTTTTTTTATATATCATCTAAAACAAGTAAAACTTGGTTGAAACTTGGCACTTATTTATAAACATAAAAAATTGAATAATGTGCACATATGCATATAATCTGACTTTTTCATCTGGTTCAAAAATCTAACTAAAGCAAGCTGTTAAACAGTAAAAAAAAAGTGGGTATATTGTAAAAAATATATTAATGGCCAATAAGCACACAAAGTGCTCAGAAGAATTAGCCAGCAAAGAAATGCAAATTAAATCACAATAAAATACTGCTACACACCCATCAGAATAGATAAAATTAAATAGACAAAATACCAATGTTAGTAATTAAGGATGTAGAACAACAGAAATTCTCCTATATCGCTGTCAGTGATGCAACATGGCAAACTACTTTGGAAAAAATGTATCACATGAAGTTAAACAGGTAATTTTACTTCTAAAGCCCAGCAATTCTACTTCTAGGTCTTTACCCACCTATAATAAAAATATATGAATGTTCATAGCAGCTTTGTTCAAAATAATCAAAAACTGGAAACAATGCAAATGTCTGTTAAGAGGTAAATGAATATACACACTGTGGTTTAATGAAATAAGCATTAAACAATATAAATAAATCACTGATATCACAACATGGATGAATCACAAAAAACATTATAGGGAGAGTAAAGAGCCAGATAAAAAAAGAGTACACACTGTATGATTTCATTCATATGAAGTTTTAGAATAGACGAAACTAATTTATGATGAAAGAAACCAACAGTGGGTACCTCTGGGTAGGAATGAGGAGAGGGGACTGGCTGAGAAGAACACAGAGAAGCTTTAGGGAGTTAAATAAGTTCTATATCTTGATCCAAGAGTTATGCATTTGTCAAATTCATTAGAACGTTTCCTCATAATCTGGTTTTTACTGTATACAAATTATATCTCAAAAAAAATTTTTAAGTGTACTTTCATCCAATACTATGTTTTTAAAATTTATACATAAGTTGAACATTCAAATAAACACATTTTCATTACTTCAAAAACCCTTCAAATTAAATTTAAACAGTAAGAGTTTGCGGAATCCTTTATTTGCATGTTTGTTTTTAAAATAAAACACAATTTAGAATTTTATAAAATAATCAGTAAAATAATTTAAGAAGTATGTACCTTGATTATCATTAAATACACTTAAGGCTGGCGCTGCCTCAGCTGTGTTCCATAAGCGGAGAGTGCCATCTGCTGAGCAGGACAGCAAGCGCTGGTGTGCCGCACTGTAAGCCAGACCCCAGACCGCATCGGTGTGGCCGAGCAGAGGGCCTCTCAAAACAGAAGGATCTACAGAAACCAGCAAGAATGTAAAATCAGGAGAAGAAAACAACTTATAAAGGCACTTAGATTCCAGAGAAAATAAGAGAACCTGATAACAGTATAAAATATGCTTCCTACTACTGTTCATTATTCTTTTTGAAATACTGCAATAATTAAAAATAGGCTTGAAATATGCAAATATAGTTTAAAATTTGTACATTAAAATTACAAAGTGCCTACTTTTCTCTTTTAAAAAAGTTAGGTAATTTGTTCTCCCTCCCTTTTTTCCTTCCATTTGTCTAGATATATTCAAGTCCATGCCAACACAAATCAATCATTTGAATTTAGCCTACACTGAGAAATCACAACTCATATTCCCCGAAGAAGTAAACAGAGATCCTCCCCTCCTCTGACCCCCTTCAGCAGCACTCTGGATGTACTCCTTCAGGCCATCTATCCTCCAGTACTATCAATGGCAATTACTCCTGTTGAGGTCTCTGACAAAATGAACATGAACTGAGACCTACAGAATCCCCCAAATTCTCAAGCAGCAGTAACTGACATGAATGATATGCATGGGAAGGAGGGAAGGAAGGAGGGAGGGAAGGAAGGTGGGAGGAAGGAAGTAAGGAGGGAGGGAGGGAAGGAGGGAGGGAGGGAAGGAGGGAGGGAGGGAAGGAGGGGGGGGAATGCCGGGGGTGGGTCACTTAGCAATGTTTCATGATGAAGATCATATTGGAAATTTTAATTATTAATCCTCACAATGGTTCTGTGAAATAGTACTTTCAAGACGGCTCACAGATGTTAAGTTTAAAATGTTCCTGTCCTATATCCTCTCTCTGTCATACCATAAAGTATTTACTGAAGACAAACAGTGTAATAGGTGCTATGCTACACGCTGGGGCCACACAGATGATTAAGACACAATACCATCCTTGTCCTCCTCAAAAGGCCATGTGGTAAGTGCAGTAATAGTGAGAGACACGAGTTACAAGGAGAGTAACAGGGATGAGTGAAAGCTTCTTAGTGACAATGACACCAAGCATGTACAGATGTTGGACAAAGAATAGAGGAAAGTCATTCCTGTTAAAAGAGGCAACACCAACAAAAGCACACAAGAAAAAATAGCCTGATTTGTAGAGGAAACAAGCAATTCAGTATTACTGGAGTATGAAGTTCAAGGGAGGTAGTACGTAAGATGAGAAGGGCTAGTTAGTTTATGGTGAGATTTCTATGACATTATTACAGTACTTGGGAATTATCCTGAAAGCAGTAGGGAACAAATGGAGGATTTCCCAGAGGCAGCAGGGTAAAATATGTATTTAATAAGGTAACTTCCCCCCACCCCCAGTGTGAGCCTTTTATTTATTTTTTATGGCTTTTTTTATTGTTGTCCAAGTACAGTTGTCTCCATTTCCCCCCATCACTCCCCCACAAAGCCCAGCCATATCCACCTCCTACCCTGGATCCTACTCGCCTTTGGTTTTGTCCATGGGTCCTTTATATATATTCCTTGACAACCTTCCCCCTCCCCCCACCCCGTTATCCATTCCCACCTCCCCTCTGGTTACTTTCAGTTTGTTCTTTATTTCTATGTCTCTGGTTGTATTTTGCTTGCCTGTCTGTTTTGTTGACTAGGTTGCACTTACAGGTGACATCGTGTGGTATTTGCCTTTCACTGCCTGGCTTATTTCACTTAGCATGATGCTCTCCAGTTCCATCCATGCTGTTGTAAAGAGTAGTAGCTCCTTTCTTTCTGCTGTGTATTCCATTGTGTAAATGTACCACAGATGTTTGATCCATTCATGTACTGATGGGCACTTAGGCTGTTTCCAGCACTTGGCTATTGTAAATAACACTGCCATGAACCTTGGGGTGCACAGGTTCTTCTGAGTTGGTGTTTCAGGATTCTTAGCATATAATCCCAGCAGTGGAATTGCCAGGTCAAAAGGCAGTTCCATTTTTAGTTTCCTCAGGAAATTCTACGCTGTTTTCCACAGTGACTGCACCAGTCTGCATTCCCACCAACAACCTCACCAGCACTTGTTGTTTGTTATTTTGGTTGTGATGGCCATTCTGACCAGTGTGAAGTGGTATCTCACTGTGGTTTTACTTTGCATCTCTCTGATGGCTAGTGATGCTGAGCATCCTTTCACATGTCTCTGGGCCCTCTCTATGTCCTCCTTGGAGAAGTGTCTGCTCAGGTCCTTTGCCCATTTTTTAATTGGGTTGTTTGTCTTTCTGGAGTGGAGTCCTGTGAGATCCTTAAATATTTTGGAGATCAAACCCTTGTCTGAGGTATCACTGGCAAATATATTTTCCCATACGGCTGGTTCCCTTTTCATTTTGCTGATGTTTTCTTTAGCCATGCAGAAGCTTTTTATTTTGATGAAGTCCCATTTGTTTATTCTTTCCTCTGTGTGCCTTGTTCTAGGGGACATATCAGTGAAAATATTGCTGCATGGAATATCTGAGATTTTCCTCCCTATGCTCTCTTCTAGGACTTTTATGGTGTTGCAACTTATATTTAAGTCTTTTATCCATCTCGAGTTTATTTTTGCATATGGTGCAAGTTGGTGGTGAAGTTTCATTTTTTTGCATGTAGCTGTCTAGTTCTCCCAACATCATTTGTTGAAGAGGCTATTTTTACCCCATTTTATGCTTCTGCCCCCACTGTCAAATATTAATTGATCACAGAGACTTGAGTTTATTTCTGGGCTCTCTATTCTGTTCCACTGATCTATGAGTCTGTTCTTCTGCCAGTACCAGGCTGTTTTGATTACTGTGGCCTTGTAATACATTTTAATATCAGGTATTGTGATCCCTCCTACTTCACTCTTCTTTCTCAAAATTGCTGCAGCTATTCAGGGTTGTTTATGGTTCCATATAAATTTTTGAAATGTTTGTTCTAGCTCTGTGAAATATGCCATTGGTATTTTAATAGAGATTGCAACAAATCTATAAATTGCTTTGGGCAGTATGGGCATTTTGTTGATATTAATTCTTCCAATTCATGAACACAGTATATGCTTCAACTTATTTGTGTCTTCCTTAATTTCTTCATAACAAGGTAACTTTGTACAGAAAACAGACTAAACAAGATCAAGATAAAGGCAAGGACAGTTTCAGTAGACTGAGAGTAATGATGAAGACCCAAGCAAGGGCAGTGGTAAAAGGGACAGAGCAAGAGTAAATTCAAAAAACAGGAGTAACATCAAAAACACTAAGTAAATAATAAGGTGTAGATAGTAAAACAGAACAAGGAAAAAAGGGATAACTCATAGGCTTCTAATTTGGGTAATTCTGGTAGAGACACCAACTAATAAATAGCATATTTTGCCATGTATAATGAGCTCCTGTGTAAAACGTGCACCCACATTTTTGGCCCAAACTTTTGGGAAAAAAATCTTTCATTTTAATATTTTAATTCAATCATTTATTTACTTAGATACTTGTTTTTTCATATTATAAAGGAATTTTAGCATTTATTTTTTAACATATTATGGCACAAGAAATTTTATGTAATGAATAATTACAAACGCAAGAACAGATACAAGGTATTTCAGGTACTACCCATGTATAATTGCACATCCTTATTTTTCCCTCAAAAATTTGAGTGAAGAAGTACACATTATACACGGCAAAATATAAAGAAGAAACAGCACTTGAGAGTATTTATGGACAATGAGGCACCCACTGTAAAATGTTCAACAGGCAAATGTTTAAGCCTGAGGCTTAAAGAAGAGCCTTATGAGTCAACATCACAGAAGTGGATTCAATCTAAAACAGAATAGACTATATGGACAATGCAAAGAATGAGTCAGGGTCTGGACCTGGATAAATGTCACTATTTAAAGTAAGAAAAATAAAAAGGGTTTATGATGGATAGGGAACAGAAATTGTCAGAGTTACATTTCAAAAAATCCCACAGTGGACAAATTTCAAAGAGGATGGAGTTGTCCAGTTTCAGAGAGCCAATATATCCAGTAAAAAGAAGGGTTTGTAAAGTACCCTCTGGATCAGCACTGAAAATCTTGTATTTAAAATGGCATGACCAGAAGACGAAATGCAGAGGGATGGTGGTGCACAGGGAAAGGACAAGGAATCAGTACCCAGTAATTGTGTTTTCTAGATAATACCACAAAGAGATGCAGATGGTGAAGGAAAGAGAGCCTAAACAGAAGCCAGAGAGAGCAACGAGTCAGAAAACACCTCCCCTTGCCCAGGATGGGGGAAAACTGAAGTTACTTATATGCTGGAGCTGGAAAGAGAACAAAGAGGGAAAGGCTTAAGATGAGAACGAGAGAGACTTGGAGTGGGGTTTAGGAGGAGGGTAGTGTGCAGCCTCGAAGGAAACAAGGGAGAATGGGGTCAACAGCAACAACAGAAGGGGTTGGCTTGGGGCAGAATGAGGACAACTGACTCTCAGATATATAAAAAATTGAGGAAAGGCACGAAACAGATAAATGTGTAAGAAAACTGGGGAGACAGTAGGTTGACTTCTCACAAACATGTTAAATTCCTATTAAATAAATGGGAAATTTTTTTATTTACTGAATTTCTTATCTTCGTTTAGGTTTGGCAATAAAATTAATCTAAAGTGATGATGAAAATAAAATATGGTTTAATGATAAATGATACTTTATACCATTCTAGAATTTAAGAGGAAACCAAAACAGTCAATTCCTAAACCAGGTTTTACAAAGAAATTCATGCTAAAAACTAGTGATAGATTAAAATAAGAATTTGTGCTTCATGGTACTGTTCCCAAGACTAAAGGGCACTCCTTAATTTTTTAAGGCCTTTTAAATATTTTGGTGCCATGGACTTGAAATGTCATTAGCCTCTATGCCCTCCAATAATTGATCAAGAAGATGATGCCAATGTGCATTTTCCTTCAAAGTTGTCTATTAGAATAGTGATAAAATATTATTACAGATTAATAATAATACATCAAGTACTGTTCAGATGCCTAAAATGAGGAAAATAGTTGTCAATCAGGCCAGGATCTCCAATCAGTAAGACTCTGGGTGGCAGGAACTGTTTTCTCAGGAAGAGTATTTTTTTCTTTTTTCTTTTAGCATTACATATCAAATTAGTTCCTAAATATAGGAGTCCTTTTGAACAATAAAAAGATATGGTTCTCTTTTCTGATTTATTTTTTTTAAATATCTCATTTTATCTTTATGTGTGCTATGTAAACTGTGTGAAAAGAAAACATTCTATTCTTCTGTATCTTTGGAGACGCACGTACCATAGGAGTCATAGGGATCGATGTTGGGGTTGGTGGTGTTCCAGCCCTGGATCAGCCCGTCGGTCCCACCGCTGTAACACTGCTCGCCGTTGCTGCTCATCACCACACAGAGCACCGGCCCTCTGGGAGAGAAAACCAATTGCTAGTTTCAAAAATAATCTGATAGTAGGACTTATTATAAGTAAGAATACTTAATTATCAAAATGCCTTTCTACTTTTCAGTGTTGTACAATGAGTAAAAATACTATCAAAGCATTGTTCATTTTTCTTCCTCTGCTAAACCAAAAGTTGATAAACTATGGCCTGAGGGCCAAATCTAGCCAGTGGTCTTAATTTGAGCAGTCTTCAAACTAAGAATGGGTTTTACTCTTTTTAAAGGGTTATAAAACTAAACTAAACTAAAATCAAGAATATACAACAAATATGTGGCCTGGAAAGCCTAAAAATATTTACTGTCTAACCCTTTATATAAAAAGTATGTGATCTCTGTGCTACAAAGCAAGTGACTATATGTGTGTGTACACACACACACACACACACACACTCCTTAAGCTTAACGGGAAAACAGAAAAAGCAAGTAATATCCTATCACAATAAAAAATTCTTGGATATTTTATATAGGTTATCTTTAAGGAAAAGAGGTCAGGATTTCTAATATTTTAATCTAATTTCCTCAACTTTATGAGAGATATATACATCATTTAAACATCATGCAAATAAAACCTAATTTCAGCAAGAATCCCTATTTGGTACTGATAAACTTATTTTAACAATTATCTTCCAATTTCTTTTACACTTACAAAAAAAAGCTACTAAATACAAAAAATTCATAATATGAATACATAAGTGAGAGAAAATAAAATATCCCAATGAGGCTGACGAACAGTGATGTTGATTTTTTACAAGGCACATACTTACTTATGAGCCCTGAATGTATAGATAGGCTCCACGTCAAGAGAGGTGCTCCTACATCAGAAAGAAGAGAGGACTGTTACCACCCTAAGTTTCAGCAGGAAACAGTATCACTGAATTATGTCATAAATTCTAGATTCAGTTTCCAATTCTGTTATTAACTAAGTTTAGGCAAATGACTTAATCTTTTGGAATTTCAAATTCCTCTATGTTTAAAATAAAACAAAAGAAATAGGGATAATACCAATATTCATAGAATTAAATGAGATTCTACAAGTACTGGTTTGGCTAAAAAGTCCGTATGGTTTTTTCTGTAAAATGAACGACACATTTTTCATTTCCACCAATAACTTTATTGATCTGAATATTTTGAGTATGTTGGCTATCTCCCACTATTGGCTTCTAGTGGGTAGGGGCCTGGGGTGCTGCTAAATATCTTCCAATGCATGAGACAGCCCCACAGCAAAGAATTATTTGGTCAAAATGTCAATAGTACCAAGAAACTTCACAAGCCACTTTTGATACATCTGATCAGTCAGTCACAGCACCTTCTCCATATGCTGCACATGTCTTTATTTGTGTTTCAGTTGTGTTTTTACCTTTCTTAAAATACAAAATAATATGCTAAAATGTTGCATATTTTCTTCCATATTCAAAATAAAATAACTGCACAAAAATTCACTTTAAATGCATGCTGATATGACAGCTGTCACAACACAATCTAACAAAATTGTTTTGAATGAAGTTAAAGATAATTAAGCACTATTAGAACCATCGTACGGAAAAAAATACTGGACTTTTTGGCCAACCCAATAAAACAGCCTAGGGCAGGACCATGCACAGAGAATTTCAATAAATGGTACTTTAATTCCTGGCATTTCCATGAAGGTTAATATATCTGCCCTCGATACCTGCAGAAACCGTCCAAGTCATCAGTTCATTCACTACTCAGAATGCTGAATGTATGAGTACTGTATAGCACCTAAACAGGCCATGACTATTAATGGAAACTGGATTTAAAGTCAAATACCATGTTCTATAGTGTATTACAACTATTTTTATAGGTATATGATCTCTCTCAAGTCATTTCCAAAGTTTTAAGTTCAAAGGTAAACAGGCCACTGTTATTTACATGTGAAGGTATTATTACTAAGCTATCACCAGCAAGATAGCTTAGTAATAATTATTTCAATATTTTTCTAAAATTCAGTCAAGACTATATGGTGAGACATTCACATAGTCTCTAGTCTAATGTGGTGTCCATTGTGACCAAAGAACTAGAAAGACAAAAAGCACAATTTATACCCAGGAAATGATTTTTCTCTGCTGCAGATATCTGATCCAAGTGAGTATTCACTTGGTTTTAGTAAGATCTAGTCCATGTATGACTCACAGCAGGAATGTCCCTAATCATAGATATCCTCTACCAGTAATAAAACTTCTGTAATCTCCACCATTTGAAATTCATTCCTACTCTTCTAATAGCAGAAATGCCTGACACTATAAAAGAGCCCTTGCTGGCAGCTGCTGGGTTCTGGGCCACGTAACCCAAGGGAAAAAAGAGAGGAGCTCTAATAAGGACCCCAACAAGCAGGATCAGGACTCCCGTGGTGACTGTTAAAAGGGTTTATAGCAACTCACATCTGTCCAGGTCCAGAGAGAAACCAAGGGGCCAAAGCCAAGACTAGCAGTTAAATGACAGCAACAACACAGCCTTTCAGTACAGACATATTGGTGGGTATGGAGAGTACCAGAAGGCCAAAAGGCAAGACCAAAGAGAGGTCCCTCACCCCTCCCAACCAGCTTTCCCTCCCTTCCACTCCATAAGTCCAAGGCTTGTAAACAGTGGGACAGGATTGGGGTGGGAGGTTGATGATTAAACATGCCTATCCCTGTCTATAGCAACAACAGAAACTTTCAGTACATTCAAAGGGCTCCCTAAATAAGACAAACATTTAAAATACTGTATAAGGATTGTAATTAGGATTCACAAATCCTGGGAAACCATCACATAATACCATTTCTCCCTAAGTGTCAGTTTTCCAACCTAATACTAGATTGCTCAATTTTGAGTATGAAGGGAAACACTCTAAATTACATGATATGGTGAAGAAAAAAAAAAACTAGAAGAGATATACAGACAACTTAACAGTAAATAATAAAGTATTTTTCTGCTGAAAATCTGTTAAAAATGTGTCAAATAAAGTTAAAGTAGAATATTCTCACTTTTTGGCTGGGGCTGTTTTCTGTAAATTCCACATTTTTAATGTGTGATCCTCTGATGCTGTTATCAAAACAGGCTCAATGGGGTGGAAAGCAAGGGCTCGAATGCCATCGAAGTGACTTCTTAATGTAAACTTAGGGTTCCAAGTCTTCCTCAATGCATCTTTATTATTTGCTATCTATTCAAGAAACAAAAGGAAAAAACACCTATACATTTAGCTCAGCATTGGGAATATAACTACATTTCAACATTAATTTTTGTTGATTTATCATTAAACCATCACATTTTGCAATTGTCAAAAATATTATAATTTTTTAATGTAAATAACCAAACCAATAGGCAAATAATAAGAAAACAGGTAACAATTCAGTATAGAAATATGATCAGATAATAAATCTTCACTAGGATGATTAAAAAAGACAAGTAATGTCAACCTAAATTTTAGTACAGAGACTAATTTTGAGTAACTGAAAAATTAAGTTATCTTTAAACATGTTAACATTATAGATTATTGTACTTTTGAGATTTTCGATATTTGCTAAAAAGAAGTAAATTTTTCATCAAATTGGCAACAAGGTTTATAAACTGGAAATATAAAATATTAAAATTAGAAGAAACAATTAGATGTTATAAAAATAGATTACATCAGTAAAACACACACATCATTATACTGCTTTCCTTCACAGAAACTCCATCTCAACAACTAAAAAAAACAAAAAAAAGCACAATGTTTTCATTCCAAGTAATAGGACAACTAACAAGGTTTGTGCGTCACTTTACACTGGCACCATGCATAAACTCTTCACACTCCAAGGGTAATAATCATGCTAGGTTTAATCAAGAGTGAGGATAGTACTGGTAACATACTGGAGAAACAGTACCAATAACAAAAACCAAAAAGGTACTAACAACAGTTGCTATTTTGAGCATTATTCATCATTTTGAATATTATTCAAAAGACTCAGCATGCGTTAACTCTATCTTCATAAACTCTGTGAGGATGGAATTAACATTATCCCCACTTTACAGACTAAATATGTAAGAAAAAGATAAATTAAGTGACTTGCCCTCTAGTAAGCAGAAGAGTTAAGATTCAAACCCCAGCAGACGGGCTTCAGAGGGTATACTCTTAATATAAACTATAATTTAGAACTCAGAAGTTTAACAATCTGGAGAAAAATTTGGGTGGGACATGTCACAACTGGGGCAATAAGAGAAGACAAAACATACTATGCAATATATTATGTAAGAATTTGGGCTAGTTATTCTTGGGGGAGGGAAAAGCTGAGTTGACTCCTATCTGCTCTTCTCAAAGAGCTAAAAGGCGTTCATATGTAAGAGCAATTAGATTCCTTCTGAATAGCTTAATGAGGTAGGCAGCCAGTAAAATGGTTCCCAATCAACCCCACCTACTCGTATTTATGTTTTGTATAGTCCCCTTCCACATCACAGGGTTGCTCTGTGAGACTAATAACATACAGCAGAGTGGTAACAAATCACTTTCAAAATTAGATTAAAAAACCTTCCTTCATGGGTCTTCTTAGTACCTCTCTTTGAAGGGCAATCACACTGGGTGAAGCCAGCTGCCCTGCTAAGACGCCCATAGACAGGCCCATGTGGTGAGGAACTAGTCTCCAGCCAACAGCTAGCAAAGAAGCAAGGCCTTCCAACAACCACATGAGTGAATCTGGAAGTAGATCTTCCTCAAGTCAAGACTTCATGTAAGACTGTAGCCCTTCCCAACGTCTTGATTGCAACTACATGAGTGACCTGAAGCAAACAGCTAAGCTACCTCCAGATTGGTGACCCAGATAAACTATGAGATAATAAATATTTGTTTTAAGCTGTAAATTTGGGGCAATTTGTTATACAGTGACAGATTACTAATATGTCTAATAAAATTATGAACTACTTTTAGAAACAGATATACATAACACTAAGTTTTCCATTAATTAAGAACTATGAAAAAAGTGAGCTTTCTCTAGAGCTGAAAGAGGACTGAATTTCACTGCATACTGAACAAATCTTTGGGGGGTTAGTATTGAGGGAACATCTGGGTGGAGCCATGATGAACCAGACCATTGGGACTAACTGTACTAAGCACAAGTAGAAAAACAGATATAAAAATAAAGAATTGGAGAACCAGCAAAATGGTGAAGAAAAGCCACGTCTGCATCAAGAGGAAGACAGAGACCTAAGACAAAAACCTGATATTTGGAATTTTTCCCCTAACAGTGTTTCCTGATTCCAAGATGGATGGCTGAGAGGTGGGGCTGTGCTTTTGACAGGTCGGCAGTGCGGTGGGGCACAAACTGGTGTCCAGGAACTGCCCAAAGAATGGGGCTTGGTGACCTACATTGCTTTGGGTTTTGATTTCAAAAGGCTGGATCCGAGACATAAGCATGAACTGTAAGCACACAAGCCCTTACAGGGACTGTAGACTAGCTTTAGATCAGCCCCAAAACTGAAAACAGAGTGAGGCAATACAGATTTCTAGTGGCTGCAGAAAACCAAAGAAGCAAATTAAAATATGCTCTCTGAGGGAAGATATCATCTTAGACCTAAAGTTATTTTACAGACAATTTTTCAAATATAGTTATTTGGGCATAATAAAATATGTGTTCATACAAAATAATACAACAAACGAAAACAAGCAGAAACCACACATAATAGCAACAGAAATACAGGTTTCTGATTCAAATTTTATAATAATCATGCAAACTATGTTCAAGACAAACGACAAAACTTAAAATTTTGGGAGAAATCTGTAAATGATGAAGAATTCTGGAAGCAAAAGATATGAGACATCAATTGATGAGCTTAATTACAAATTACACAAAACTAAAGAGAAAAGTAGTGAACTGGAAGATGGGTCATATAAAAATCTAGACTGAAGTACAGAAAATCAAAGGATGTGAAATACTGAATAAGGGAAGAGCAGACAAAGGATATATAAAGAAGATCTAACACTATAACTAGAGTTCTAGAAGGAGAAGAGAAAGAGTGATGAAAAAGCAGTATTTGAAGATAAATGGATGAAAACTTTACAAAGCTGATGAAAACATAATACTAAGAAGATCTAAGGTTACTATAAAGAAGGTTAATATTTAACCTTCAAAAAGGTTAATAAGCTTTTTCTGTGCTGTTAGGACTCTTGCAAACACGATGGATGCTCCTAAAACCCGCTGGTCTTTCTGTAAGAAGTGTGGCAAGCACTGACCCCACAAAGTAATACAGTTAAAGAAGGGAAAGGATCTTCTATATGCCCAGGGGAAGCAGCACTATGACAGTAAGCTGAGTTGGCTGTGGTGGGCAGACTAAGCCAATTTTCTGGAAAAAGCCTAAAACTACAAAGAAGATTGTGCTGAAGCTTGAACATGTTGAGCCCAACTGCAGATCTAAGAGAATGTTGGCTGTTAAGAGATGCAAGCATTTTGAACTGGGAGGAGATAAGAAGAGAAAGGGCCAAGTGGTCCACTTCTAAGCTTCATTTCTTGTTTTATTAGGTGACAATAAAATCATGAGGATATGTTCACTTCAAAAAACCCCCAAAAGTTAATAAATATTTTCACCAATATGTCCCCTACAGCAAGGGATATAAAGGAAAGAATAAACAAATAGGACTTCATCAAAATAAAAAGCTTCTGCATGGCTAAAGAAAACATCAGCAAAATGAAAAGGGAACCAGCCGTATGGGAAAATATATTTGCCAATGATACCTCAGACAAGGGTTTGGTCTCCAGAATATTTAAGGATCTCACAGGACTCCACTCCAGAAAGACAAACAACCCAATTAAAAAATGGGCAAAGGACCTGAGCAGACACTTCTCCAAGGAGGACATAGAGAGGGCCCAGAGACATGTGAAAGGATGCTCAGCATCACTAGCCATCAGAGAGATGCAAATTAAAACCACAGCGAGATACTACTTCACACCAGTCAGAATGGCCATCATAACCAAATCAACAAACAACAAGTGCTGGTAAGGTTGTGAAGAAAAGGGAACTCTACTACACTGTTGGTAAGAATGAGGACTGGTGGGAAATACTGTGGGAAACAGCATGGAATTTCCTCAGGAAACTAACAATGGAACTGCCCTTTGACCTGGCAATTCCACTGCTGGGATTATATGCTAAGAATCCTGAAACACTAACTCAAAAGAACCTGTGTATCCCAAGGTTCATGGCAATGTTATTTACAATAGCCAAGTGCTGGAAACAGCCTAAGTGCCCATCAGTAAATGAGTGGATCAAAAAAACCATGGTACATTTACCAGTGGAATACTACACAGCAGAAATAAAGAAGGAGCTCCTACCCTTTGCGTCAGTACAGATGGAACTAGAGAGCATTATACTAAGGGAAATAAGCCAAGCAGTGAAAGCAGGTAGCATATGATTTCATGTGTAAGTGGAACCTAGTCAACAAAGCAACCAAGTGAGCAAAATAGAACCAGGGACATATAGAGAAATAAAGAACAAACTGACAGTGACCAGAGGGGAGGGAAGAGGGGGATCATGGGGAAATGAAGGGCAAGGGTCAAGTCAAGGAACATGAATAAAGGGCCCACGGACAAAGACAACAGTGGGGAGGACTGAATTTGCTGGGTGGGGAGTGAGTAGGGTGGGGAAGAGCAATGGGGGAAAAGGGAACAACTGTAATGAACAACAATGAAAATAAAAGTAGGTTAATTAAAAGAAAATTAATCCTTGGCAGACAAGACAAAGAAATATCAGAGGGGAAAAAAATTAGACTATAATTGAAAGAACAATGAAATAACATATATAGAGTGCTTAAAAAAAAAAGAAGAAACCTTGCCAACTAGAATTCAGTATTAGAGGTAAGTTAACCCACCTGGGTGAAATAAGGAAAATTTAAGAAAACCAGGAACAGAGAATTGGGCACTAGTTAGATAAAACCAGGAACAGAGAATTGGGCACTAGTTAGATAGATCTTTAGTGAAGAAAGAAATATTAAGTGTTCTTAGAGTAAAAGGAAAGTGATCCCAAATGGACAGTCAGACACGCAGGGGAGAATGGGAAAAAGAAAAATGGACTGAGTATCTAGTGTACAAAATAGTATCTTGTTAGAGATCAATGTATAAATAAAATATGTAACAAGAATGACATATACATAGCATGGGAGCTTTTAATATAGAGTTAATAGTGCTCAATGTATGTACTTATAAAATTTTGATCAGGATATGTGTTGTAACCTCTGAGATAATGATTAAAAGAGTAGTGAAAAAGTGTATAAACTCCAAGTAATGGGGGAAAGGGAAATAATAAAAGATAATCAATCCCAATATCAGCAAAAGTAGGATAAAAAGAAACACAAATAGATGGCATGGTTAAATCCAAAGATATCAGTCATTACTTTAGAAAGAAATGAACTAAATGCTCCAATTCAAAAGTCTGTCAAATGTTAGATGAAAAAAACAAAAGTCAACTAAATGGTATTTTTAAAAGACATATATAAAACACAATACAAAAATGCTGGGGAAAAAATCTATCACAAATGGGGAAAATGGAGTACAAGGAGTCTGTTTAGAATAGGTTATTATGTAGTTTAAGGTAAAGAAAAAATGGACTAGGTTGGGAGGCAAAAAGAAGCATATGGATTTCTTCTGTTTTTGGAGATAGAAACCAAAACACCTACTAATGGACTTAGCAACCGAGAGTGAGAGTTTTGGATCTGCAGGAAGAGGAGTGAATGGTGAGGGCTCCTCCTTGGAGTACTTTCTTATTGTGTCCATATGGGGTCTACTTAGGCATCTGGCCGACATGCCCCACATGCAGCAGGAGCTACACTGTATTCTCCAACAAAGACAATGAGGTAGCAAAGTGAGAGGATATTAATGAAGATAAAAGACAGGTTGTAAATAGCTTATGAAATAACTATTTTCTGATATTTATTATGATGAACAAGTATAAATGCATTTACAATAAATGTGTTTAGGATTCATAAAGGTATAAAGTCTTCAATTTTAGTCCAAATCACTGATGGGTGAGTCTCAGTATCTGCAAAGAACCCTGTACACATCCCTGCCTAGTAACAGCTAAAATCAGTTCTTGGCAGTATATTAGCATACTAAAACGGCAAATGATACAGTTAGGCAGGCATGAATTTCAATTAACTACTGATGCCCTAAAACATAAAACAAAACCCAAATTTAGTAATGGGAAAGGGAATTCCTTCCTTTATCTAAAAGCAATAAACAAGCTATACTAACTTACAGGTTTAGATAAAGTCCATAATTTTAATCACTATATGAAGTGGAAAATATTGTTTATCTTTATAATATATTCAAGTTTTCAAAGTTTGTAATTAAAATGAACGAAACACTATACCTTTGCTTCTTTATTGCCATAATTTTCTATAAAATTAACTTTTTCTTTCAAAAATGAATAAAAACAATAAAAACAAAACTATCACTTACATCGTAAGTTAGTGTATCTGCTTCATTGGCGACTGTAAGGCCTGCCAATTCTCCAAGTCCCAGTTCACTTTCAAGAGCTTCATCTGCTCCCATGATGAATGACTTCCCAGAAGAAGGAGGAAATGTGAGTGCTTCCACTGAAAGAAGATACAGGAAACATAAAAACACTTCTAAAGAGTCAACAATTAGTCTCATAAAGGCATGTTTGATTATTTTTAAATGCTTTTAAACACAATAAAATTCAGTGTGCGGAAAATCTTGAAGAACTGGTGGCTTTTTCCACATACAACCATAGCTAAACATATCATCTAATTATTGTAGAAAAGTAAAACATGAAACAAACCCAATAGTTTTGTTCTTTTTTTCACTACACAAAAAAAAAAGTGAATCAGTTTTCCTCATTTGATAATTCATGCTAGTTACCCAAATTATTTCCATGGACTATTAAACAGATATAACAAGTGATTCTGGCCATTACAGGTCTGATTCAAACAAAGTTGTTAATTCTATAACCTGGAGGAATATAGAAAATTTCAGACCTCCAGCCAATATGGGGACGTAGGTAGATACACTCTGCTTCTTCACAAAACCAAAAGAAGGTTAACAAATTTAAAAACAAAAAATAACCAGAACTGCCAGAAAATCAAACTGTATGGAAGTCCGACAACCAAAGAAACATTCATGTAGACTGGTAGGAGATGCAGAGATGGGAAGCCAGAGTGCAGAGGACGTGCAACAAGGTGGTGGCTGGAGGACCAGGGCAGGCAAGGTGGCAGCTGTCAGACTGGAAGGTCTGACATTTGCATGCAGATAAACCAGTAGGAACAACTGGGGAGTTAGATAAACCATGCAACCCAGGGTTCAAGAGTGGGGAAATAAAGCCCCAAAACCTCTGGCTGTAAAATCCTATGGGGGTTGCAGCAGCAGGAGAACCTCCCAGCCTCACAGGTTTGTTGGAGAGACCCACAGGGTCCTAGAACGTACACAAACCCACCCACACAGGAGGCAGCACCAGAAGGGCCTAATATGCTTGTGGATAGAGAGAGCAAGTGGCATTGTTCCCTTTCAGAGACCCCTCCCCTCAACATACAGCACCACAACTCAGCAATATGGGTTGCGCACCCTGGTGAATACCTAAGGCTCTGCCCCTTACAATGTAACAGGTGTGCTGAGGCAAAGAAATATGGCCCAAGTGAAAGAACAGATCAAAGCTTCAAAAATAGAACTAAGTGAAGAAGAGATAGCCAACCTATCAGATGTAGAATGAAATAAAGCAAAATATACAGGTAACCAACAGTGAAGGGAAGGAAACTGAGACTTGACTCAATGATTTGGTCCAGAAGGAAAAAATAAACATTCAACCAAAACAGAATGAAGAAACAAGAATTCAAAAAAATGAGGAGAGGTTTAGGAACCTATGAAACAACTTTAAACATTCCAATATACAAATCACAGAGGTGCCAGAAGGAGAAGAGGAAGGGGAAGAAATTGAAAACTTATTTGAAAAAATAATGAAGGAGAACTTCCTCAATCTGGTATAGGTAATAGACTTCTAGGAAGTCCAGAAAGCTCAGACAGTCCCAAAGAAGTTGGACCCAAGGAAGCATACAACAAGGCACATCGTAATTAGATTACCCAAGATTAAAGGATAAGGAGACAATTTTAAAAGTAGCAAGAGAAAAGGAGACAGTTACCTACAAAGGAACTCCCATAAGGCTATCAGATGATTTCTCAAAAGAAACCTTGCAGGCAAGAAGGGGCTGAAAAGAAGTATTCCAAGTCATGAAAGGCAAGGGCCTACATCCAAGATTACTCTACCCAGCAAAGCTATCATTCAGAATGGAAGGGCAGATAAAGTACTTCCCAGATAAGGTCAAATTAAAGGAGTTCATCACCATGCCCTTATTATATGAAATGCCAAAGGGACTTACCTAAGGAAAAGAAGATCAAAAACTATGAACAGTAAAATGACAACAAACTCACAACTATCAACAACCAAACTGAAATACAAAAACAAACTAAACAAACCACTACAAAAGGAACAGAATCACAGAAATGGAAATCACATGGAGGGTTACTGGGGGGGAGGAGAGGAGAAAAGGTACAGGGACTAAGAAGCATAAATAGTAGGTACAAAATAGACAGGGGGAGGTTAAGAATAGTATGGGAAATGGAGAACCCAGAAAACTTATATGTATGCCCGTGGACATGAACTAAGGGGGGATGGGGGGTGCAGGATACTAGTGGGAGGGAGGGTGCAGGGTGTAGGGGAATAAAGGGGAGAAAAAAATGGGACAACTGTAATAGCATAACCAATGAAATATACTTAAAAAAAGAAAATTTCAAATGAAAATAGTTACAATTGTAAAATATGCCTATGAGGCAAACTCTTAGATGGTGACAGAAATCAGGATTACCTCTGCAGAGGAAAGAAGGGGCAGTGATTAGAAGGGAGCCTAGCAGGATTTCTAGGACCCTCGCCATGCTCTGCTCCGCTCCTTGATGCAGTGGTGACATGGTTGGGTTCACTTTGTAATAATTCACTGAGCTATACTTTCGTGACTTGAGCAGTTTTCTGTAGGTATGCTATATTTCACTGAAGAATGTTTATTTCAAACACAAAAATTTTAAGTGTCCATTTGAACACTTTTCTTTAGTTTCCAACTATGTTTCAAGATGTCAGATTTATATGGTGATAAATATACATATCCTTATAATACTGGACATATCAACCTGATCCCTTTGGTCATTATCACAGAAGAACCAGTTAAAAGTAAAATGCCAAATTTATTATATAAAATAATGATTTTACTTAATTTGGCCAATAATAAAACATCACTTTTTTCTATTGCAAATTATTCTGACAAACTCATGGATGGTCTTCCAGTGGCATTCTGTAACTGGTCACTTTACTGATGACAAATATTTGAGTTAATTAGATGAATTTAGTAGTTTAAACTTTGACTGTTAAAGAAGTAAATTAAGTCTTCCTTAAAATTAACAAATCAACTTATTAGTCTGCACAGAAACTCTACTTAAAATTCTTGTAAGAACAGAGGAGAGTACAAATTAAGACATTTTCAAATCACCATACAATAAAGCAGAAATAATTTCAGAAAATGGGTTTTACCAGAACATACCATGTATCCTCTGCGGGTATTCAAAGAACTCGAAACATTTACAATTGATGAGGGGATTGTTTAAATTAGAAAAGCAATTTTTATGTCAAAATTTCAACCAAACGATTCATGTAACACTATAGAACTAGGTCTTCAGTCCAGTGTTTTGTTTTGTTTTGTTTTGTTTCCATTTCTAGTATTTTCAGATAACTTTATTCAGGAGTTAAACAAAAATTACTCTTCAAATAAAGACTAACAGTTGTGGAATCTGACCACACATACTGTTTGGGCTAATTTAGCTGATGCTCTAGAAATGGCCAAGCAAAACCTGAAAACATGATCAATGGCTAAACCAGCAGACTCGAGGGCTGAAGAAAGAGAAAGCAACAATAGGCACAACCTTATTTCATTGCTAAGATTTTCTAGAACTTACTATAGTGCCACTTAAGTGTGGCTTTCCTTCTTAATACCATAAAAATAAAGTTATAAATGTATATAGCACATACAGACAACGGAAGCTTTATCTGAAACTGCAAAGACAAAATTTAGAGTGGTTTTTAATGTTTATACATCCCTTTTCAAGTCTTAAAGATTAAAGTTGGGATCAAACTCCACTGAATGTAAGAAAACCTACATTTGGGGAATATATAGATCAAATATTGGTAGACCACAATTCCTCTTTTAGAGAGTCCTTTCTAATAAGAATTTAGATATGTATATCCAAATGTTTCTTGTGCTCCAGAATGTCTTAAATACTCACCTTCATCTGCCCTATTTATTTCATGTTCAGGAAGCCTGGAGCTGCTAGGTCTGGAAGGTGAACCCACAGATGGTTGCAATGAGGGAAGTTCATCAACATCTCTTAAATTAGCAAGCATATCTTGTAGTTTTGACCTGTTGGGTCCTAGCCCAAAAAAGGCAGGGAGAGAACAAAAGAGAAGAAATAGAATTAACCAACTGCATTAAAATGGTGCCATAAAACTTTATTCACAAGTCCAACATTCACCTTGAAAGCCACCCTAGTATATTAAAAAGTAATTATTTTCCAAGTTTTCAAATTACTTTAAAAGTTTATTATTTCTTGAAAAGACTTATATTTTATATATACCGGTATTTTAAAAATTAAGGGAATAACATCACTGTTTATATGGAAATATGCTCATATGCAATTTAGACCATTAAAAATAATATTCTATAATCCTGGCATGTTACTCTAAATTCAGACAGACACCACAGATGGTGAAGCTACTGCTGTGTACTGAATTAAACAGTAATATCAGTTTTTATTTGTTTAAATTAAGTTGCATTCATTGCCTTACATCCTGAAGCTATGATACCCAAGGTGGAGTCTCATGCCCTGCTGATTACTTACCAGAAATTTGATTCTTCATTCTCTCACATCCCTGTTTTGACTGTTTTATATAGGATAGAGGCTGAAACAGATCTTCAGTAGTTTTTCCTGTTATAAGTTTAATTAAGAATGGGAAATCTTACCCATAGTCTGTTATGGTTTTTTTCCTAAACCAGCACAAGCAATTTTAACTAATACCTAAAAATATATTTCAAGACAGTATGACTGGAGTACACAATTTGACTGGAAATATTTCTACTTAGAATATATTAAAATAATTCAAACTTTTCCAATGAATAAACAGTTCAATTAAAAAAACATGGTGAATTATGAATTAATTCATTTATCAATTCAAAGCTTTGCTTCAGTTCTCTTTTTATCATTGTGACTTGTTCCTAGGTTACCATTTATCCAGGTAATACAAACTGACAATGCAAACGAAATGTGCTGAACCTCAGTCTATAGTCTATCTTCAGTAAAAGACATTAAAACTTCTCCCCATACAAGAGGGGGACCCAAAAAAACCCTGGAATTTAGTTATTAAAAATTGTGTATTTATTCTTACATGTTTAAACTTCAGTCACTTTAGAAGCATTCTCCATTTGATGCAATACACCTATCGAGACATTTTCTTCATTGCTCAAAACAGTTTTTAAATTTGTCAATTTTGATGCCTTTCACTACTACTGGGTTGGTTTGTTTGTTTGTTTATTTTTTGTTTGTTTGCCTCTTTCAAGGGGCAAAACATTTCCTTTGAGGACTTTTTTCATCCAAGGAAACAAAAAAAAGTCACTCAGGGTGAGATCGGCTGTATAGAGAGGGTGGGGCATGGGGGACGGCTAAACACTCAGTGCTGTGTGCACAGGTGAGCTTGTACAACCATTACAAAATCAGCAAATACACTGAAAGAGTCTTCAAAAAACATTCACTGAGTCCGAACACAGTCTCTCACAACAACGCCAGCTAGTACACTGGATACAGATGGGTTCCTAGAACACTCACCTAGTGGGGAAAGCCTGTACTACAAAGGGCCCACCCCCCAGAAGATAATTCCAGATTTTGGGAGTCCCCCTCACAGAGTCATTTTTCATCATCATGCCAAAAAACTTTTTGCTGTATGCATGAATAGTGATCACAATCTCCACATTCAGGAAATCTAATAACTTCTATTAATAAGAATACTGTTCCAGTCAAATGGTGCAGTTTTAGATTTTAAGTGCTGAATTTCAACTACAGTGATGCCTTGATATAATTTGATAAGAACAGAATAATCCATGTAACAGTAGGTGGATTCTATATATGTCCTATATCATTCCAATCTAAAGATCTTTTACATTTCAAGACATTCATTATTATAGCATAATGACTTAAAGAAATATATCAACTTTAAGCCAGTCTAAAAATTAAAATATTCTCCTTGTTTCTCATGTATGTACAAATTTTCCACAAAATTTCAGTTAAATTGCTTTCATCATGATTCTGAAAAGCCATAACAAATCATGCCTCACTACTGTTTGTTAAGATTAATTTTTATCAGTTTATTTGGATAAAGCTACAAATATTCTTATGTTTTAATATTTATATTGATTTAACTTATATTCAGGTAACACCAAATGACATCATCTCTCAGTTATGTAATGGCTGGTATGATAATATCAATAATGGCCACTGTCTTTTACCCATTCAAGCTAAATACCTGTAAATTCTAAAATATTTTAAATAAAGATTTAAATGTTTTCCAGTAATTACCAGGTTGTAAAAGAATGTCCTAACAGGAATGACTGGTCTTTGATAAGCTTTAGCATCACTATAAAAAGAAAAAATATATTTCCTTCCAGTCTTTTGCAACTTTTAAATACATGTTTCACTAACCTGGATTTTAATCTCATCTTACATTACTTTAATATCCCAAAGGATGAAATTCCTATTGCCATAAAAAAGGACCCAAATTCATAATGTTAATGAGTGGAAACACAAGGAGATAGTTTAAGCTTGCTCTCCTAAGAAGATATTTAAGGTTTTCAGGGATGTTTGAAAGCTATTGTATTTCCATTAAATTTACATGCTTAACTAGATCTATTGCTAAACTTTATTAATACTTTTAATGAATTATATATGATTCACAGGGCTAGAAATTTAATTTTAGCTTCTGTTTTTTTGATGTGGCACACATTTTATTGGAAAAAAAAAAGCTCATTGGTAACATTATAAATGCAACTGGCCAAAAGTGTTAAATTAGAAAATAAGTAGTTTTCAGAAATTGTATATCTGTGCCCTGTATAGCATATAGTGGTGAAGCCACATGAACTGTGTGTTATGAACACATAGAACATTCAGGGGTAGAAATTAATGTTCTGTCTCCAATTCTATAATTTATAAGCAATAAGTTTGGTGGATTGCCGGTGAGTCATACTAAATGAGATTTAAAATTGTCTAAAACTGTCAACAGTGAAAAATCATGATTATAATTAAGCACATACATTTTTTAAAAATCAAATTATCACTATGTTTAAATACATAGTCCCACTCTCTCATGAGGCTGGGGATTCATTATTAGAATATATATCATCATTCCATAATCATACGCATAGTTTTGTTTTATTTTGATTTTTTAAGTTCATAATTAAATAGCTAACCATTTAATTTCAACCCCTGAGAGCAGGTGAAAAAGAAAGAGGTCAGGAGTAGAAACAAAAAGAGTAAGTAGTTTTAGGAAAACATTGAAAAAAAAATGGGGGATATGAAAGAGGCAAGATTTATGAATTATAGATACAATGTTTTCCACTTACTCTTCACCCCCTTTTTCCCCTTTCTCTCCTTTTTGTATTGTTCCTTGAGTTTGGTAATTACTCCCTGGTCCACATTCCAAGCTTCAGGCATGAGACACTGGTCTTCCTTTTCTAAATGGAGTGAAACAAATGAAACAGCCTTTTTCAATAAAATACTGAACACTGTAAGTCAATTCACTGTTATGTCAATAAATGACACAACGAACATTTTCCCTGTAATAACATTAATTTTAAAAAGACATTACATATATGTCACACAAAATATAGTATCTAAGAAATAGCAACCAATTCTATTTTTTAGGTCATCATCAAAGCTCTCTTGAAAGAGACAGAAAAAAACCACCCTGAAAGATATGAGTGACTTTTAGTAAACTGAGCCCCAAAATGCTACCATCAGGAACCCCTCATTTTAATCCCATTTTCTGAATTCAATTAGGACTGAATCACAAATTTTTAAAATTAGCTTATGTAATTAGTTATTACTAAGAGATTATACAAAATAGTCTTCAATAATCTTTTCATCTCAAAAATTTTACTTCTTTGGCATGTGCTCATCAACACCTTTATTTTACACGACTCAAGGAACACTTGAAAACTCCACAATCAACCTGCATTCAAAATTAAAAACAATTTGATTTGTTAGTTTATAAATTCTTTAAAAAGAACACAAAACTTCTAGTAGAAAAGAAATTCTAATCACTAATTTTCACTCTTTCAAAAGAAAATTTGCAGAATGTTACATATTTTATACTTACTATAATTCATATACTCTATAATGTTATATGTTAGTTCAAAACTCTCGTTTGAATTCAACACTCATATATCCAACAGCTCATTCCACATTTCCATTAATAAATCTAAATAGTATCTCAAACTAAACATAGAAAGCCAAGTTGCCATAGAAAGCCAAGCTGCCAAGTCCCCATCCAATCGGTTTCATCCACAGGATTCCCCATTTATTGATGGCAATTCCACACTTCCTTTTGCTCAAACCAAAACCCTCTCTCTCACCCAACATCAACTATTTCAGTAAATACTGTTTTCTCTACCTTCAAAACACATCTAGAATCTGATGACTATTCAGCATGTCTACTATTTCTCTAACCACACTTCCTCTTGCTAGAATTACTGCAATAGTTGTCCTCTCTCCCCACCAAGTCTATTATCAATACTGGTTGCCCTGGGTTCTCAACACGGCAGCCAGATAATTCTTTAAAATAAAAATCAGATCCTACCATCCTCATGTCCAAATCCCTCCCATGGTTCCCCATCTCACCAGTGGTCTCTGTAACCTTACATGATTTGGTCACTTCTTACTATATTGCCCTTAGAAAAACTCTGCTCCAGCCACTCTACTTTCCTTGAATTTCTCAATCATACCAGGGCTGCTGCTATCTTAGGGCATTTATTCTGGCTTTATCCTTCCTGAACACTTTCCCCAGATACTACATGCCTAACTTCCTTATCACCTTCAAGGTTTTGCTCGAATGTTACCCTCTCTTGGCACTTACATGACCACTTTATTTTAAATTGCAACCTGTCTCCTCCACCCCACATCGACACCAGAATTTTTTTTATTTTTTTAATCATTGTTCAACTACAGTTTTCTCCTTTTTACTCCCAATCCAGTCCCCCCTCCCACCCTCTCCACTTCCCTCCCATTACCACCCTCCCCTTAGTTTATAACCATGTGTCCTTTAAATTTGTTCCTGTGAACCCTTCCCACTGTCCCCTTAAATTCCCTCTTCTCTCCCATCTGGTCACCGTCAGCCTGTCCTCTATTTCAGTGTCTTTGGTTATATTTTGCTTGTTTCTTTATTTTGGTATTTAGGTTCCTGTTAAAGGTGAGATCATATGGTATTTGTTTTTCACTGCCTGGCTTGTTTCGCTAAGCAAAATGTTTTCCAGCTCCATCCACGCTGTTGCAAAGGGTAGGAGCTCCTTCTTTCTTTCTGCTGCATAGAATTCCATTGTGTAAATGTACCATAGTTTTTTGATCCATTCATTTACTGATGGGCATCTTGGTTACTTCCAGCATCTAGCTATTGTAAATTGTTCTGCTATGAACATTGGGATGCATAGGTTCTTTTGAATTGGTGTTTTAGTATTCTTAGGATAGAGTCCCAGCAGTGGAATTGCAGGGTCAAAAGGCAGATCCATTTTTAGTTTTCTGAGGAAGTTCCATACTGCTTTCCATAGTGGTTGTACAAGTCTGCAGTCCCACCAGCAGTGCACTAGGGTCCCCTTTTCTCCACAACCTCTCCAACACTTGTTGTTTGTTGCTTTGTTTATGATGGCCATTCTGTCTGGTGTGAAGTGGTATCTCATTGTGGTTTTAATTTGCATCTCTCTGATAGCCAGCGATATTGAACATCGTTTCATGTGTCTTTGGATTTTCTGTATGTCCTCCTTGGAGAAGTGTCTGTTCAAGTCCTTTGCCCACTTTTTTAATTGGATTCCTTGTCTTCTTAGAGTGCAGTCTTGTAAGTTCTTTATATATTTTGGAGATTAAACCCTTGTCTGAGGTATCATTGGCAAATATGTTTTCTCATACAGTTGGTTCTCTTTTAATTTTGATACTGTTTTCTTTAGCTGTGCAGAAGCTTTTAATTTTGATGAGGTCCCATTTGTTTATTCTTTCCTTTATGTCCCTTGCTCTAGGGGACACATCAGTAAAAAAGTTTCTTCGTGAAATATCTGAGATTTTCCTACCTACGTTCTCCTCTAGGACTTTAATGGTGTCACGTTTCATATTTAAGCCTTTTATCCACCTTGAATTTATTTTTGTATATGGTGTAAGTTGGTGCTCAAGTTTCATTTTTTTGCACGTGGCTGTCCAGTTCTCCCAATACCCTTTGTTGAAGAGGCTATTTTTACTCCATTTTATGTTGCTACCTCCTTTGTCAAATATTAATTGACCATAGAGACTTGGGCTTATTTCTGGGCTCTCTGTTCTGTTCCATTGGTCTATGTGCCTGTTTTTATGCCAGTACCAGGCTGTTTTGATTACAGTGGCCTTGTAGTATAGTTTAGTGTCGGGTATTGTGATCCCTCCTACTTTACTCTTCTTTCTCAAAATTGCAGCAGCTATTCAGGGTCGTTTATAATTCCATATAAATTTTTGAAGTGTTTGTTCTATGTCTGTGAAATATGCCATTGGTACTTTAACAGGAATTGCATTGAATGTGTAGATTGCTTTGGGTAGTATGGACATTTTGATGATATTAATTCTTCCAATCCATGAACACTGTATATGTTTCCATTTTTTTGTATCTTCCTTGATTTCCTTCCTGAGTGTTATGTAGTTTTCTGAATACAGGTCTTTTACCTCTTTGGTTAGGTTTATTCCTAGATATTTTATTTTTCTTTTTGCTATTTCAAATGGGATTTTTTCCTTGATCTCTGTTTCTGCTGTTTCATTGTTGGCGTACAGAAATGCCTTTGATTTCGGGATATTGACTTTGTATCCCACTGTTTTGCCAAATTCATTTATTAGGGTAAGCAGTTTTTTGGTAGAGTCTATAGGATTTTCTATGTATACTATCATGTCATCTGCAAACAGTGACAGTTTTGTTTCCTCCTTTCCGATTTGGATGCCTTTTATTTCTTTTTCTTGTCTGATTGCTGTGGATAAAGACACCAGAACTCTTTATCCCCCTTATTCTATTCTTCTTTTTCTGTTTTCCATAGCATTTACCACCTTCTGACATACTATACCATGTATCATGTGTATTGCTTATTGCCTATATGTTCTTAGTAGATTGCAGGGACAATAGATATAGGGATTTTCACCTAGAAGACTGGCAAATAGAAGGCATTTGATCAGTATTTGGTGAATGACTGGAATAAACAGTAATATGTCTATTTTTAACAAGTTCCAATCCACAGTTTTAAAAAACTGGTTATACCCTGGCTGGGTGGCTCAGTTGGTTGGAACATCATCTCAAAGACCAAAAACTGCAGGTTCAATTCCTGGTTAGGGCACATAGCTAGGATGCAAGTTCAATCCCCAGTCAGGGAGTGTGTGGGAGGCAAAAGATCAATGTTTCTTTCCCACATCAGTGTTTCTCTATCTCTGTCTCTCCCCACCCCATTCCTTAACGAATAAACATATCCTTGGGGTAAGATCATAAATAAACAAACAAATAAACTGGTTATTAGGCCTGTGAATATACTAAACACAATTTAAAAAAAAAACCTCAACATTTTTATAGACTGAACTGTATTATCTATCAATAAAAAGCCTCTTTTTCCAGAAAGATCTAGCAATTTTCTTGGGGTAGGTGGGAGTGGTGGGGGGAAAATGGAGACAACTGTACTTGAACAACAATTAAAAAAAAGACAGAAAAAATAAAAATAAAAGAAAAATGTTAATTCTCATCAATCAGAACTGAATAATTCATTAAATTGGGAACCTTCTGCATACTAAAATGCCTTCAGGGTTTTTTTTAATATTAGTCTTAAAAAAATCAGCCTTATCATACATAATCTTAATTAGACTCATATTAACAATAGCAATGGAAGGTCATAGAAGATGTGTGGTAAAATCTACTTTTGGCAGAAACTAACAAGATTCTTAACCTAAACTTACTCACTTTTTAAAAGGGGCTGGTGAGAGATAAAAGAAGCACTTAAAATGGTTTAAATCTCCCTTCAACTACACAGGAATAGAAGTATCTATGTGTTGTTAATTGCTTAAAAGTAAAATGGTTTGAATTAGAATTATAAAATCCATGAAACACTGGTAAAGAACCCTCCAGCTGACTGCAAGATTTCATTCATTCATATTCATAAACAGAAATGTCCAGTACTTTACTAAAGGGTGAGACATCAGATGTGGGAACAGCCACTCATGTTTTCACCAGTAACTTCATAGCAAGTTAGGTTAAATGTACACACATGAATCATATAATATAATGGGCCATGACTCACACCTTAAAGCAAAGGAAGTTACATAAGGAACAATGCAGCTGTCTTTAGAGAAAAATGAATCCCAGTAAGAGCCAAGTATTATTTATGCAGGTGTATGACTCCTCAAAGAAAGACCACTGTGTAGCACAGTGGATCTAGCTATATTGGCAGAATTGCTGCCTGAAATATCTGAACAACTTGATATATACGCTCATTAGGGAATAAGACAGAAGAGAGAGTCATTTCACTTTAACTTCCCCTGGGTTCCAATCTTTGTTCTGTTGGGGAAAAAAAGTCAGTCACTAAATAGTCGTTATATTCTTCATACTATGACTTCAAGTAATTATCCCAAATTATTCTTCAAATATTTGCCACAAAAAAGAAAAAGAGGTGGTATTAGCATTATCAGAATCCCTGAAGGGAAATCTGCCATTAAAGTGCATAGATTGTAAGCTAAGGGTGTTCTAAAGATAAATATTCTCTCATTCCAAAATACCTGTTAGGTGATGAAAATATTAAAAATGATTAGAACAATTTGCACACAAAAAAATTTGATGCTTTCTATAAACTGATGTAACCTGACTAGAATGAATAACTACTAACACTTCTTTTTTGCACAGATGATCCCACAGATGACATCTCTAAAATCTTCCAATGCAGCGATTTTCAACGCTTTTCTTCTTGTGGCACACATAAACGAATTACTAAAATTCTGTGACACACCAAAAAATACTGTTATTTTTTGCTGATCTGACAAAAAATAGGTATAATTTTGATTCGTTCACACCAAATGGCTATTGTTGTGTTGGTTGTTGTCATTTTTTTATTTGACAATCTAAGGGAAAAGAGGTCAGTGCCCCCGACTGAAGAATCAGGCACTGCACGTTTTACAGATTTGTGTGGCACACTGGTTGAAAATCGCTGCTCTGATGCATTGTCATACTCAATTTCCACAAAATCTAGATTTGCAAGTTCTGTCTGGGCAGAAAGTAGAGACCATTCTATATATAAATTCAAATTATTTTCATATTGCATTATTTGTCTTTTTTTTAAATGAGGTAATTAGTTGTGTAAACTTCTTTAAATACCTAGAACACACATATACCCTCTAGACAAAAGGTGATGGTAATAAAAAGTTCATAGGATGTCCAACATTTCAACACTGTAAGAGATTAAAGTGTTCTTCAAGGTGTTGCCCTCTGAGTAAAATATTAGTTCCTTTATTTACGTAAGTTCTCTGGTTGGACCCATTATCCTTCCTTACCCCAGTCTGTTCCATCGCCTGCACTTCTAGATTCACTGTCGCCTTCCTCTGATGTAACCAAGAAGTCAAATTCCTTTAGAGCTTCTTCTGTATCTCGATCTTCACTGCTATCAGGCAATGCTTTTTTCCTAACAATCTAATGAAAAAAATATGCTAAATTGAAATATATTATGAAATTAATTTAAATAAAGGGGAAGTTATCCCTTTACCATTGTAGGAGGAACCCCAATTATTTTCTTCCAAAAATGTCTTTGTTTTGTTAAATAACTATAATACCTATTCAGCAGTGGGAAACACAGATGTCACTTTAAAAAAATACACACATTACACATTCTAAAGTAGTAATTTAAATTTTGTTCAATGATGGCTTGTTTTAAATAAACTAATGGAAGCGCATATTGAAAATACTGGGATATAAGACATGCATTTAAATTACAGATATATCCTTAAAATACTGTATTATTAGAACCACAACCTAATCTTGTATTTCTTGAATGCGTTTGTGCAGTGTGCAGACATTCTAATCCAACTGAAGAAAGAAAACACTTCGTAAATCATTGCAAGAACTTTCAGAATATAACCATGATAAATTTTAGCTCTAATACATCATTGCCTTACAAAACTTACATTCACAAAAAGTACAAACTCAGTAATTCTTGCCTCAAGACTTAGAAGGTATTCTGTTGGTGGCAGGGTGTTGGGGTTCACATTATTATTTCTACTATCCCAATCTTGCATCAATATTCTCTAATAACTCTCTATATATTCAAGTTTTTCCTAAAATACTGATGTTTCCAAGTGAGACTTGACTTAGATTTAATAGAAAATCTAGTAAGGGCTGTTATGTCTTATTTTTATGTATTTAGGAACATCTCTGGAATCACAAAACCAGTTGGAAGATTAAAACTTAGGCTTAATACATGCAGAGATGATTTTTGAGATGTATATGCCAATACTATTCATGAATTATCTCCTTTTTGGTCACCACCACCAGGAGCCCAAAGAAATTAGGACAACTGCTTTGCAGCTTCTTTTGATTAAATGGACTCAGTATCTCACCTTCTCCAGACCTCAGCTTCTTTACTTCATGCAAAATAAAAATAGCATCTGATCAAACTTTATCACTGGACTATTTTGAGTGGTTTCAAATGATAATGGTTCAACAAACAGATCAATGGAACTGAAGACTCTAGAACTAGATGCTAAGAGATAACATTACCTGACTTGGTGGCCCTGTTCTCATGCTTGTGACTAATACCACTTGTCAATCACAGTACTTTTCTTTTTCTTTTTTAACAAGAGGAAAAAATAACCAAATTTAATTATATGTGCACGTAGGAGAACCTCATATACTTGAGAGCCAGAGACTCCATATACAAGAAAAGTTCAGAGACAGGAAGAAAAAATGAGGTGTATATATATGACATTTAAAAAAATTATTTTATTGTTGTTCAATTACAGTTGTCTGCATTTACCCTCCACCACTCCTCCCCCACCCCAGCCTTCCCCACCTCCCTGCCTTGCTTCTACCTGCCCTTGGTTTTGTCCATGTGTCTTTTATAGTTGTTCCTGAAACCCCTACCCCCTTCCTCCATTATCCCCTTCCACCTCCCCTCTGGTTACTGTCAGATTGTTCTTAGTTTCAATGTCTCTGGTTATATTTTGCTTGCTTGTTTGTCCGTCTAAGACCGGATGGAGCCTCAGAAACCCTTCTCAATGCAGCACTCCAGGACGCCACTATCAACAGAAGAAAGCTGGCACAGTGCACAAAACCTAATCTGCCTTAACCGTTCTGGTATACACAAAAACTGAATAGGAGAAATCAAGGATTCTTTAATGATGCTAGAATAACTAGTTTAACTATTTAGAACATTACCCTAAAATCAAGAAATACATTTATTTTTACAGTATTTCTGAATACCAACTAGCAAAGCTATTAGACAAACATAAACAGCAAGATCAATTTGACAGAATATGAACAAAAAACCCATCCTGAAGGCGTACTCTTTTATAAGTATTCACAAACCAGATTATTAGCATATGGTAATAATCTGTTCTAATTTTCCCTGGGCAGGCATACTAAGGTAGAAGTGTCTCTGAAGAGTTTACACCAACAGAAGGCGCTGATCTCCACAGTACCAGATACAAATGCAATGCCTAACCCACCTTCCTTTGCCTACAGGCTTGATTCCTCCCTTTTCATGACCCTGATGGGCCATCAGATAGAATTTGGAGGATTCACCACCAACATCCTATAGACAGAAAATCTATGTTCTCAATGCCTGACGAAAAAAGGACAGGGAAAATACAGAAGTATCTGGAACTGTAGGTGCAAAGTCTGAATGTATTGCCAGCATCAGTTCATACTAAATACGGCATTAAGTCACAAAACTTACTCTTTGGGAAAAACGTTTCTAGGTACTCATCTCCTCTATATAAATTAACAAAGAAGGAAGATAAATGGCAATTTGAAAACCACTGTCCATTAAGTATCCCATTTAAATAAATAAACAAAAACTCCTGTATTTTTAATAGCTAGACATAGAAGAAAAGTAAACTGTGGTTACCAGTGGAGAGCAGGATTAGTAAATACGAATGGGTGCAGTTTGTTGTAATAAGTACATATATTACGTTTCTTCCTTATATCCAAGGTTCCATCCCACTCCTACCTTCATTGAGCTTATGAATCAATTTAAGAAAAAAGTTAAGGGCTGCATATGGTGCTAAGGTTAGGGAAAGGGATAGGCTGTCACTTTGGAAAGCATTAAAAGAAGTATAACACAAATGGGGATGAGATTCTTTACACTGTGACTAAAACAACAGTTCATGATTCTTAATCCCATTAGCTTTTCTTCCCAAAGTGTCTGAATACAGAGACAATGTTGCTGCTTACATTATCCTTTATGCAGTTCAAAATTGATCACATTTTATATGCATATATAATTTCAAGATCATTATTACACTTAACAAATGATACGGTGATGAGAATACTGATAACAATGGTAAAGAAAAATCAGATGAAGAGGGTGATCTTAGGGAAAGAGATGGACACAGAGAGAAGAAAAATGATCCAAAATATAATTCAAAGAACAATCAAAACTCCAACAAAGGGCAAAGAGTAAGAAAGAAGGAACAAACAGTTTTTGAAAACAACCAACAGCTACTAAGAGCTGTAAGTTTCTGTATTTTCTTAGTTGAATCTAATAAACTATTTTGATTAAAGAAATAAAATATTTTTAAAAACCTCTTTGTTCTACTAAACATTTTAATAGGATAATTTTCAGCCATTCACTTTTTATATATAGTACTGCAATAAATCTTCTAAGTCATGCATATTCATCGCCAGAGTTAGATTTTTTAAGTCCTTTTGGCATGTTAGACTATTAGATTGTAGCTGTGAAAATTAACATAATATATCATACTAGTTCACAAAACTATTGTGAAAAAGCAATTATTTGTTTAGAAATATTTTTCCTGCAGAACTACAAGAATTTTTGAGTCCAATGTTTCAATGGGGTTAAGTATTTTTACATTAGCTGTGTCTTCATTGCTTGGTCACAGAATTGCTATGGCCTGCACTAACTGGAAGACAGCATATTTGCAAATTCGGTTACTTAAAAAGAAACCAGTTTATAGTTAGGAATTTCTAGTGAGACCATAGGTAATGATCACAATAATCAACTTACAGATTTTTTAAATATCTAAACTGATATAATAACAAAAAACTTAAAGCATCATACTTAGTTATTATTTACCATTGAGCTATGAATACATTATTTTCACAGGAAAATAATATCTCAATGCAATTATCTCATAGAAATCACAAGGGGACACAAAATTTCTAAATTATTAGGACAAAAAAAGTACCATGCAAGTTTAGGCATTTTCTTACACTACAGTAACTAAAAGCACATGTTATTACTACTTGTTTGGATAATAAAAAAGGAGTAACTTCTTAAAAGTTCAAGTAATATCCATGGCAGGGCTGTATGAGCAGAACACAACTGAATAGTGAGCCAGGGAAACAATAATCTAGAAGTAATAATTTGAGTCTCTGATGGAAGCAGATGGAATAAAAAAAGACAGGTTACACTTAGAAAACACTGTATAGTTAAACATATTGATACTGACAGACAGGCTGTCCAGACTGCTGGGAGTGGGTTGAGGCAGGAAATAGCAGAGGATGCTGGAGGAGATGAAGGTAGGCCATGAGAGGGAACCTGGGACACTTCTGCACTGAGGCACACTACTTGGGGTACTGAGGTTGTTGAGTGCAGTCAGATAATACTTTCCTGAATCGCCCAGGGCCATGGCAACAACACTGAGTTTCACTGCTCTGTGGCAGGTGGGACCACACTGCCCAGGTAACCAATGCACACTCCCCCACCCTCAGGCAAGATGATAACAGGAGGAAGTTCTCGACACTGACTATGTACAAGGCTAACAAGATAACTGGACAAAGTCCTCCTACCCCTTTCAGGTACCAGATTGGGAGTGGGACTAGGGGAAGGCAGGCACAAGCACAAAAGAAGTTAAAATTGTGTGGGTTTCTGGACCAAAGAGGTCTATCAGTCTAGCCTGGGGAAAAGAAGAGATTAATTGGGAAGCGGACCACCCAAAGTGAGTAAAAGTTTAGGAAGTTAATTGGTTATTCTAAGAAAACATCTGGTCCATCACAAACCTGAACCTAATATAAATACAGGGAAACAAAGGAAGTTCTATCTTGCTCGAGGCTCGCTGCTCAGGACCTGCACTTGGACCCTAAACTGTCCTTTCCATGGGGCTCATGACCTTAGCAGTCGCGTGGACCATGGAGAGTATCTCTCTCCCCTGCTGACCTGGTGGAGCATTCACGTGTGCTTTCATGCGCTCTCTGGCCCAGGAGTACGGGACCCTAGAAGTCGCATGGCCAGCTCCGGCGGTGCCAGCTCCATGCACAGTCTCCAGCAGGCAACCCGAAGTTGGACAGCAATTGGGAATAAGCTAAGTTACCTGGATGATCACTTAGCAGCCACCTCAGGTTCTAAAAAGTGGTACTTTAAAATGGAACAGGAATTCTAGGTACTGCCTTTTGTCTGAGTTTTGTGGAGTCGATAAGCTTTGAGACAGGGAGTCCCCCATGGTCCCAGATTGTTCAGTATTCAAATAAAAACCCTTTTCCTTTCTTACAAGCCTCTGCCTCTAGATTTTGCTTTTTGGTGGCAGTGGGCAGCTGAACCCCACTTTGGTTCAGTAACAATATCATTTTCATATATAGTGTCTCATTTATTCTTCACAGAATCCTCTGGGGATAAGATGGATATGTATTATAATCCTCATTTTATAAACTAAAAAGCTAAGCCTGAAGGATTAAGCATAGATGATTAGTAACAGAAATGAGACTTAAACCCAAGGATTTTGACTTAAGATCTAGTCTTTACATTACCTTACATTCCTCTTCCTTCTAAATAAAAGTAGAAGAGGTTATATGAACATTTTCCTAGATAAAACAAAGCACACCCTCGTCTCTTTGAAAAGAGGGAAGAAAAAGGGAAAAGATAGGAGAGAAATAAGGGAGTTAAAGAGGGAAAAAGTAGGGAGAAAGAAAGGCCCTGGCTGGTGTGGCTCAGTGGATTGAGCACCAGCCTGCAAACAAAGGGTCTCCAGTTCGATTCCCAATCAGGGGAAATGCCTGGGTTGCAGGCCAGGTCCCCAGTGTGGGGCATGTGAGAGGCAACAACACATTGATGTTTCTCTCCCTCTCTCCTTCCCTTCCCCTCAAAAATAAATAAATACAATCTTTAAAAAAATAAGTAGGGAGAAAGAAAAGAGGGGAGTGGGGTGGGGGGAAAGGAGATGGTAGAAGGGGACAGAACACAGAAGGGAAAGGAGAAGAAGCAATTTAGAGACATCTCTTATTGTAGGAGACTACCAAGGGAGAGTCAATAAACATAAATATGTAAACAAAACTCCACAAAATCCCTAAACAAGCTTAAAGAAATCTAATGGAAGAGTTTGAAAAGTCTGTAGAACTTGTCTGCCAAAGCAACCCTGACAAGAGCAAAACTGCATTCATTAGTTGACAGCTCCAATCCATTAGTTGACAGTTCCACTGTCTTACAGCAACCAGTAACACTGCACTGTCACCACATTCACCAGCTCTGCAGAAGTGTTCAAAGTTTAATGGAGTAACAAAAAGTCAAAGAATAAGGCAGGAACAGAAAGCTGCTATACTAAAAGTATTCTTGACTTTGAAGTCAATATTAAAAATTCTTTTAAATTTCCCCAAATTCATGAAAGAAAAAGTTAAGGACTTAGGTTGAACGACATGGATTATTTTTAAAGTATGCATAATAGTCCCTAAGAAATTTATATCTGAGTTACCCAACTTACTGTTGAAGTATCAATAATGCTTTTCTCTCGTCCATCAATGTCATCATCTTCATCTTCATCACTGAAATCTGCAGTTACATTTTCAGGGAATTTGAAATTATCCAGCACAGAGGCAGGATCCGTTAACTCGGATTTCCTGGTTTAAAACATGTACATCTTGCTCAGTTAATTTTTTAAACTTGCCATAAGAATTAGTCTGTGATATGATGCACTAACTTCTGTTTATATTGTAACTATGACTCCTCAAATTACATCATGAACAACACTGATTCTTATCCATTATATTTCCTTCAATTTTAATTGGAAAAGCAATATAGGAAGTGATTACTATTTAAAGTTTTTTTCAATCCTACCTATTTAGATTAATGGTAACCTAATGTAAAGAACTCCCACTTCTGAATCAGAAGTGTTTTGATCCTAAGTTAACCTTCATCTATTTCTTAAAAAAATTTTTCATCTCTGCCACTACTTTTCTCTATTCTTTTCCTCTATGCAACTCTTCCTATGACACATAACTCAGAAAATAACTAGAAAATATGTCATTTTTCTCTGATGAAATCTTGTATTTCTGAACAGCTAAAGAGTAGAAAAAAGCAAATGTGTACATAAAATTACTAAATACAATATAGTAGTCAAATCAACATTACAACAAAACTTCATCCTATTGGTGAACATTCTTTTAGAAATGATTTCAAATACGTAAGCTTTTAATTTAGTTCTCTAAAAATAAATTTAATAAACAATTTCTTAATGGCTAGAAAGGATGATTTCTCTCTAGTTCATTAAAAAATGTTTTAGATTAGAAGGCTTTTCCATGACAAAATTTATCCACAGCTATGAACAAAATTTTCAACACAGATAAATAATAAATTTCAAATCTGCTCTGAGCTATGTTTTAGGTTTTCCCACCCTATTCTTCATTTCTACATAAATCAGGCATTCAGAATGATACCCTTGTCAGCTTCAAAAGGCAGGTCAAGGCCAAAACACAAGATAACTGGAGTGGTCTGAATTTTCAGAAGGTCTCAGAATGACTTCACACTTTAGGTAAAACTATAACCAGGAATAATGCCTACACTGTCCATGTCTACACAGAAAAACGCTCTGTGCCTCACATTTATGAAAGCAATTTAATGTAGTTTTAATTACTAATGAATACATTTAAGAAGACTCCAAAGACATCTGTTTACAAAAGTCGTGTTTTTGAACATTTACCTAAATCTTCCAATTTCAGTTTATGTCCTAGATAACAGAAATTATGTTCTCACTAGAACAGCTATTTTCAACCTTTTTCATCTCATGGCACATGCAAAGTAATTACTAAAATTCTGCGGCACACTGAAAAATATATTTCTGACCTATCTGACAAAAAATTGGGTGTGATTTTAATTCATTCACACTGGACAGCTATTGTTGTGTTGGCTGTCATCATCTTTTTTATTTGACAATCTAAGGAAAAAAAAGTCAGTGTCCCTGACTAAATATCAGGTATTGCATATTGAAAGTCACTGCACTAGAACATATTGAGAGTTTAATTAAAACCATTCTTCCAGACTAAATAAACATTAAAATAAAGTAAATCATATTTAGACTTTCACAGAGATTTTGGCTTTTTATTTAAGAATCCTGTCAACTTTTTTTTCAATAAAGAATCGCCTATTTAACTTTTCATGACCATTTTAACAGAATTACATATAACTGTATGATACATGATCCAAAAAAGCAAAACAAAGTATTTCAAACAGCTACTGAATTTTTCACACTTACGCTATCAATGAAAAATATATACTTAAAATAGACATTTTTCAAAGGAAAGACGAGTTACATCATTATTAGATAAACAAAAGTGGCTAAAATAAGGTTTACTTCTAGAGAATCTGCAGTATTTATATGACTTTTGGGTAAGAGATAATGAAATTTCATTCTTAAAGATTTGAACTGAATTTCCAAAGTAAGATCTTTTATGAAGTTCTTATAATAAGTGACTGAGCTTCAAGGCATTAAAACCTGTGTTAAATCCAAAAATTTCAAGCTAACATCTTAAATTAAAAGTCTTGAAATAACCACAAATAACACTAATCACTACATGTTATCTTCTACCAAATGAATTTTAACTTATTGAACTAATTAGATTTCTGTAGCAGTATCTAACAGTACAAGTATCATATCACCCATAAACCAAATACATTTAATAAAAATTAAAATCATAGCTAAAACACTTTCCAGATAAAATACTTACCCAATCATTGCTGTGTCTTTAATTTCACCCTCTGTGCCATTTATAACTGAGTCTTGATTTTTGTCCTCTTCCCTGTCAGTGACATCACTTGAAAAGCCCAACAAAGCTCGCACTCGTTTAGACTTCACATCTAGAATAGTATCTGTGTAACCCACCTCCTGCAGATACCTGTGTATGAAAGGATCCTTACAATTCTGCCATATTAGGTCAGCATTCTATAACTCAAAACGTAAACAAAAGTATTCTTTTTAATTCACTTCCTGCATAAAACTTAACAGTATAGTACTATGCTAGTATGACTTGCTAACAAATAATCTTCCAGCTGCAGATGGAGCTGTCTCTTGCAGTACCAGTCTCTACAGTCACTGAGAAAAATCAAAGAACTATACAATAGACCATTCATTATATTTATCAGAAGAAGATGTTCCTTAACAGCACATTCTTTCTTCTAGGCAGTTTTGGAGTAAACTCACTCTCAGATACTACTGAGTTACTATTTTATAACAGTAGTTATCATAACCAATAGTCTATTTACATTTCTGATGTACAGTGTCACTGGATCAACTGAAAACTAAAGAGAATATTTCTAGCATATATAGTTTTCTCCGTGACATACAAGAACATATCATATTCCAGAGTCACTTCAACAGGGAAGTTTCTAGCCTGGGGCAACTGTAAAATAAAAAAAAGTAGATCATAATCGAAATGTTCAAATGTGCAATGTGGGGTATCTGGGTGCATTGGGAGGGGGGCGTGTTGCAGAGAAGCAGCAGCACAGAAAAAAGAGAAAAGCCTTTGCATTTCGAGTAAGACCTAGGTCTAAAGCCCATTTCTGCCACTTTTTTCCTGTTACTTGAATTCTCCTGAACCTCAGCTTTCTTTCCCCTAAAAGAGACATACTTAATACAGTGCCTGGTATATACAAGGCATTCAATATGCAGTAACAAAGAAGATGACCAGCCCCCCACCCAAAGTGGTAGTGCCAGGAACATGAAGAAGGCAAATGTCACTGACTGCATCATTAATAAACATGACAGACAAATGCTAGACATTAATATAAATAAACATCAGTCTATGGGATGAAAGAAAAAACAAAGGTAGACAAGATAACCACTCTAAGGTCAATTTGTTTCAAGATCTGGTATTAACAGTTACTACAGCTCAAAGAGATACCTTACAAAGATATATGACCAAAATGGAGTTAAGTGCAACCTTTCAAATAAAGACACTTATTTTTCAATCCTATTCAATATTTATAGAAAGGTTTTAATGAAAATCTGGGTAATAAACTTCTAACTTTCCTAAATTTATTCAGTTGTTCTTGCAAACTAACAGAAAGGTATTATGTTATTCCATTTTTAACAAATAATATTTGACACATCAACTTCATTTTGGTAACAAAATCACAATACAAATAATTGTTTGAAAAACTGCACTTTCCATTGATAAGTTGGCTTTACTAAACAGTTCCTCCTACAATGATGAAATGTCACCTTTCCTTTAAGGGGAAGATTATCAGTCTTCAAAAGTTTTTGAAAATATCTCTTGGATTACTTACTATAACAATTTCTCATTAAAAAAAAAACCAGCAGATTAAGAACACCTATCAAAGGAAAATGCAAAAAACATATTTAACACCTAAGTGAGAATACTAGTGAAAACCCCATTTATTAAATATTAGTGAAACTGCATTTTCTTCTAACATCAAGTAGATGAAAAATAGATATAAGGAGACATTTCACTATTCTCTTCCTGTCATTAAAAGGAGTGGCTGGCATACATCCACTTTGGAAATCACAGATTTAGACTATTTACAAGTGACCTCAAAAGTCAAAAACAGGCAGCAAATTTCACTTCACTGAAGCACAGACCTGAATGCCAGTTTCAAATGTGATATGGAAGGACCAGGCACTGAGCTGGTGTGGCCCTAGCCCACCATCTGACATCTGAACCTCAACCCAGCTCTGTTCCCTCTTTACAGTCTCAAATAACCATTTCATAGGAGAAAGCAGATGTTAGTGCAATAGTGGCAAATTGGGGAAAATCAAAAGTTCTTCAATCAAAAATAGGAAGGTTAAAAGCAAACAAAATTTAATACTGATTAAACATATTAAAACTTGTATATTCACATATAAAAGATGCAAAAGTAACTTTAAGAGAATTCTTCAAACTATAAATTTAAGTATACAATAAAATCTAAAAGCTTAAAATTGTACTTTTTAAAAAAAATCCTCACCTGAGAACATTTTTTTTTCATTGTTTTTTGAGAGAGAGAGAGAGGAAGGGAGAGGGTTTAGGGAGAGGAAGGGAGGGAGAAAGAGAGAGAAAGAAATATCAATGTAAGAGAGAAATGTTGACTGGTTGCCTTTTGTATGTGCCCCAACTGGGAGCCAAACCCACAACCTAGGCATGTGCCCTGACCAGGAATTGAACTTGTCACCCTTCGGTTTGTGGGACCACACCTAATCAACTGACCCACACCAGCCAGGACAAAACAGTATTCTTTTTCATGAAGCTAAAATTATGAAAAGAATTTGTCCTTAATAATTCTTATTAATATTTAACAAAAAAATAAATTCCACTACAGGGGAAATATGTTTAATATGAAAAAGGAAAAGTAATTCACTTAAGCTTTTCACAACAGCAGTATAATAATGTGAGATAAATTATCCTACTGAGCTGGAAATACAAAACAAAACAAAAAATCTCACGAAAAGTATAAGCTTCTCCTCTTCAGTTTGACCATGGGTTACTTACTGTCTGAGTAGTTGTCGACCTTGTTTCCACATTAACTGGCTGTTCTGTTGTGGCTGGACCTCTGTTTCATTACCTTCATCTAGAAGACATTAAATCATAGTAAAACTGACTTGTTATATACATTAGAGGGCATCTTGATTCATAAAAAACATTCCAAAAAATGTACAAGGTTAAGAATATGTAAAAGTGCACTGTAAAGTATGTTTTAGGACAATGTAAATTATGTTTTTAAGTTGAATTTCCATAACAAAACTCTAAATTCATTATTACTACTGGATTCCTCTCAGAGTGGTAGAACTAAAATAAATAAATTTTCCAAATCTTTAGGCAGCCTGAGAATTTTCCTCCAGAACAAAGACCTACCCAAATCAAGTCAGACTGTAAGAGCCCAATAAAAGTATTATAAAGCACCACATCAAAATTAGAACAAAATACCCTGAGGAATGGTTGCTTTTTTTAAAGGCCAGTTTGATTAAAGAATAGACAGGAAGTGATCTCAGTCCAAATCTGTGTCCTTCACTAGTTATAAAAACCTTAAGTATTCTTTTTTAGACAATCTTTGAATGAAAATCTCATAGACTTTGTAAAGCTTTAAATTCATTATTTGGTAGAAGCTGCATCCTTTCAAGAAGGTGGAAAAAAATACAGCCTTCTCCATAGTAAGTCTGGACTGAAGAATTTCTAAACTACACTATGGCTCTACTTTAAAAATACAAGAAAAGCTGACACTTTCCATCAATCCTGATCCAACTATAAGAAACTGTGATCTTTATAGGGTTTTATTCAAGTGAAGATATAAGAAAGACTGGGAATATTTGTTTTATCACATTTGATATCACTTACTGTGTTTCAGATGCTGTGTTAAAAATGTATAAATTATCTCTACAAATTCAGAAGACAGGTGTTACTACTAGCCTCATTTTAAAGATAAGAAATGAGTTGTACAGGTTAATTGTAAGGTCTCTAAGTTAGTAATAGAGTTGTAAGTGTTGAAGTCAAGTCTGACTCCAGAGCTCACATATTTTTCTCCATATTCTACCACTACAATTTTAAGAAATTAGAAATATATGTAAATTTAAAAAATCAGATCTTGCACTTTCATTTTTCTCCCAAAATGAAAAGTGCAAAGCTCTGTGATACACCAAAGAAATAGCAGTAGAGTAGAGAGAGGGTGGAAAGGGAAGTCAGGGGGACTAAGTTAACTCAAAAAGGAGAATTACTTTGGGATAACATCAGAGAGTATACATTTCCTTTTTAAAAAAAGGCAAAACAAATTTCTCAATACTAGTGAAAAATGATATATCTTGTTTCCACTGACCCACAAATTCAGAAACTGTGTGTATAAAATAATATGTCCCAATATGTCCTCTTGTTACACCAAGTGAGTAACCAACCTATACTTGCCAAGAAAGAACATTTACACTGACATTTCAAAAAACTAAAAATGTTAGCTGTAAAAGCACTTTTGAGGTCATCTAATTCCCCATTAGAATAGGCCTACATCCTTTCTACACCATCCTCAAGTATAAGCAAAACTGCCTTTCCCTAGTTTGGCAGCTAGTGACGTTACTGAAGTACGGCACATCCAATCAATGGAATACTGATAGGAACAAGGAGCAAACTACTCATATACATCCACAGAGGTCTCAGATGCATTATGCCAAGTGAGAGAAGCTGGCATCAGAAGGCCACATTGTGTATGATTTTGGAATCCCTATGACTTTCTGGAAAGGCAAAACTACAGAAACAGAAAACATGTTGGTGGTTGCCAGGAGATGAGAGGGGAAAGGAAGGGGTCAATTATAAAAGGCAGTGGTAACAAGACTGCACTTATTTGTGAAAATACTAAAAAAATGAATAGTACTGTATGTAAGTTATACTTAATAAAAATAAACCAAATCAAATAAGAATGTATTTTCAAACTCTTAAAAAAACTATATTCTTATACTGAGATAAAATCTGACTCCCTGAGTAACATCTGGCATTCACCACCACCAACAAAAAAGCCTGAGGTTTAAAGAAAAAAAAAAACAACAAAAAACTCTTGCATATGTGAACTTGATTTTTTCTACACTTTATCAAGGCTAAACAAAACTCCCAATGGTTAGTAAGTAGTCATCAACTAACAGAGTCATTTTTACCTTATCAAGTTAAAAAAGTGACTATACAAAAGTGAGGATTTTAAAGTGGGTAAGAGTTATATTTCTTGGTAGTATTAAAAGCATTTGACTGGCCCTTTTAGTCAACTTGGAGTAACAAGGGCCAAACTTACTCTCCTGGTTGAAACAAGTATAAAACAAATAGATGAAACAATAGCTAAGGGACAAGAAAGGAGAGCAAAGGACAGTGATCTCTGAGAGAGGCTCTCTGGGGGAAAGGAAACAAATGGTGAGCCCTGCAACGGCTCCACTTTCCTGCCTTGATAGCATTGCCAGAGCACACCACAGGGAGAGAAGCGAAAGCAGTATCTGAAGAAACACTGGCTGAAGAGTGTTTTATGAAAACTATGAACCCATAGATCCAATAAACTCAACAAGAAACACTGTTTGGGGAGTGGGAACCATCAAGCCAAATCATAATAAAATTGATGAAAACCAATTAAAGATAAAGAGAAAAATCTTAAATGTAGCCAGAGAAAAAAGTCACATTCTAAACACCAGAACTATGGTAAGGATAACAGAAGATATTTCTCATCAGAAACGACGCAAGCAAAATAATGACTTTTTCAAGGCACAAAAGCTGAAAGAATTCATTATTTGCAGCCCATACTACCAGCTATGTTAAAGAAAGTCCTTAATAAAACAGAAGGAAAATGATACTAGAAAACATGGATCCATACAAAGGAACACGAGTACTGAAAATATATACTTTTTATAGCATTCAAATCTCTTTAAAAGAGAATTAACTGTTGAAACAAAAATAATGCAGTATGTGGTTTGTAACACAAATATAACTGCAGAAAGACAGAGAGAACAGATGCAAGCACACTGTTATAAGTATTCATGACACATGAAATGGTGTATTATCACCTAAAGACAAACTGTAGTAAGTTTATAAAACCTAAATCAACCACTTAAATAACAGTGTTATACAGCTAATAGATCAACAAAAGTGACAAAAATGGAATCATAAAAATTATTAGATTAATCCAAAAGAAATTTGAAAAAGAAGAAAAGGAAGCAAAAAACAGACTGAACAAACAGCAAGGTGGTAGCCTTAAATTTAACCATATCAATAGCCACATTAAATGTAAATTTAATGTCTAAACATCTCAATTAAAAGGCTGAACTTGTCACTTTGGATAAAAATATATTTTAAGTATCTGGCTTCTAATATTAAATAAGAGAAAATATGGAAGACAAATAGATTTTAACATAATCTGGGGTAATATTCTCTTAAAGGGGAAATGTGAGGGTTTGGAAGTGGAACAAAACAAAAAAGTCAGAGGTGAAACTAATTTTTTTGTGAAAAATATTTTAGAAAATGTCTCACTGTCAGTGTTAGAAATCGTAAATGAATAAAAGAACAAGAATGGGAAAACTCCTGTGTCCTTAAGCTTCTCCCCATTTGGAGATACTATCTCCTGCCCTCCTCTCCTAGTCCCGCTTTATCAGCTATCTACAAACCCCTTGATAATAGTGCTCCAAACCAGGCTCACATGCTTCCTCCACAACCAAACTTTTACGTCCTCTTGTGTGAAGAGATCACCCATTCATGTGGGTGATCCACTTGAGCTTCTCTAGTAGAAGCTACCATCACCCCCTCTAGCTGTCATACCTTACTTAGATCTTGTCATTACAAAGAACTGTCACAGACACAAAATCACTCTCTGAGCGTATCCTTCAGGTTCAATACTCCCCATTCACTAACTGATTTTGCTGGAACTTTAGACCAGAGGCCAGCAAATTACAGCATGTGGGTCAAATCTGACCTGCCACACCCACTCATTTATATATTGTGGCTGCTTTCATATTACCGCAGAGAGCTGAGTAGCTGCAACTGCAAACATACAGCCTACAAAGCCCAAATATTACTATCTGGCCTCAGAAAAAGTGTGCTGACCTGTTCTAGATCATAAGCTATCCCCTTATTCTTAGCCATTTAGGCTCCTTTTATCTTCACTTCCTTCCCTCTGGAGTTTTAGTTCAGTCTATCATTTCAACCACTCTTATGCCAATGTACTCAATTTTCTTGTCCCCTTGTCTCTCCATGAATTCAACTATTAACTGTTTTCAGTCTATTTAATAAGTGTACAGACCAGTGTTTCTGTATAGACTCATGGTCACACACCTCAACCTGACCTTAGCTTTTCTCAATCCTACCATTTCTTAGCAAATTTGTCCTGCTGTTCATTCATAATAAACCTTCTCTACTTTTTGTACACCTCTCACACACTCTTAGGAAATAATCTTGTCTTGTACATCAAACTAGATTAGTTACCCACCAACATAGCGAAACCCAACACCTAACTTTACAAGCTCCTCCTGCCATTCTCTAGCTGTGATCAGAACCCAACCCCTAGCACTTCTTTAGATACCTTCCTATTTTTTATATCTTTCTCCTTTTTATTTGCTCCTCCTCTAAGAAGTATTTCACACACATATGCACACACACACATTCCTTGACCCCTTGTGTCCTGTCAGCTGTTGCCTTCTAATCTCTCTCCTTCACCTTCACAACCTAAACTTCCTGAAAGTTGACCACACTTAGTCTTCATTTTTCACTCATGTCTGTGTTTCCGTCCTCACCTCTCTCCTGAAACTGCTCACAATAAAGTTTTCAGTGACCTGTTTGTCACTGAACCCTAGAAATATTCTTCAGCCCTTCAGGCATTAATCAGTACTGTTGAAGAGTCATTACTTCTGAAAACTGTCTCTTCATTTGGCTTCCACTGGTTTCCCTCCTACCATTAAGACAACCCTTATGAATTTCCTTTTCAGGTTTCTATTTTTTATCAGTTTTTTCAATGTTGCCATCCCTCAGGATTCCATTTTAGGTCCTCTTCTCACTCTGCATAAAGTCTCTGGGTGAGCCTTCCACTCCAGGGACCCTCAATGTCATCAGTACTAAATGGTGAAGCCTCTCAAATATGCATGTCATGCCCATACCACGGGTCTGAGCTCCAAACCCACACACCTGTCTACTTGCCACCTTCACTTGATTGCCTAACAAATCCAGAAGTGAACCCACTCTCTTCCAAATCAATGTCTAGCCTAGTTTTTAAAATTAGAAGTATGGGAGTCATCTTTGATCTTCCTTTTTTTTCTTCCCCTACATCTAAATAAGAACTAATTCCTGCCCTGACTGGTGTGGCTCAGTTGGTTGGAGCACCGACCCACAAAGCGAAAAGTCACTGGTTCAATTCCCAGTCAGGACACATGCCTGGGTTACTGGTTTGGTCCCGATTGGGTTGCGTTCAGAGGCAACTGATTGATGTTTTTCTCTCCCTTTCTTCCTCCCTTCCCCTCTCTAAAAATAAATAAATAAAATCCCTAAAAAAAAAAAAAAAAAGAGGATACTCTCAGGAGAAAAAAAAGAATTCCTATAGATTTTACTTCCTAAATATTTCTGAACACACCCACTTCCGTTCAATTCCATTGTTAGTACACTTTCAGGTACCGTCCTCATCTACCCAAGTGGCTGTTAACAGCCCTCTAACCAGTCTTCACATTTCCAATTTTACTACTCTCTCTCCAATCCATCTTCCAGATCAAAGAGCAAATCTGAGAACAAGAATCTGAATTAAGTCCTTCAAATGCCTTCTCATAACTTTTAGAATAATGTGTAAACTCCTTAACATAATTTCCAAGACCTTTTAACATATTTTACCATCTGTTCCTTCCCTCCACAGCTAACTCTCTAGCTGCATCTATAAATACTCATTCCCCGCTCCCAATACTAACGACTTATTTCATTTCTCAAATGTGCCATGTTCTTTAACTCAGAAGCTTTGCCGCTAATACTCCGCCTTTCTCCCACCTCTCTAGTTTAACAAATATTTAGCCAGTCTGCTTTCTCTAATTCTTACTTGTCCTTCAGATGTCAACTTTACCGTCACTTCCTGCAATAAGCCTTCCTTGACTACATAAGGCTAGATTTGGTTCCCCTGGTACTGTGCTCTGTAACACAAAACCTAATACCTTCCCCATTATACACATCATTTTATTAGAATCACTTTTTTCTTATCTCCTCTGTAAAAATCCAATAGGGTATTATCATCTTACTCACAAAATTTGGTGCTGGGTATATCAAATATTACATATTAAATATTTGTAAGCTGAACAGGTAGTTTGAAAGATCAATAGATAGAGTGATCATAGGTACTAACTAGGTACTGCATAGTAAGAAAATAAACCTGGGAGTTAGGAATTATTTCCGGAATTTTTCCCAGTATACCTATAAGGAATGGAGCAACCTCAGAGAGATTATGTAATTATCACAGGTATTTAAAGTGTCAAAGAGTACACTCAAACTTACATGTATATGATTTCAAAGCCCAAACTTTTCCTACTGAACCACAATGTTTACTTATAAACATGTTGTATATATTGCAAATAAGTCTTTATACTTCTAAATTGATCTAAAAACTAGGAAATAAACTTTTTAATGTAAAAGTACTGATTAAAATCACTCCTTCAAGTTAGGCAATATACTTTAACTTTAGGACAGTCTTTAACAAAAAGTCTAGATATAAAAGAAAATATATTTTTGTCTTTTTAAAAATTTAAGTACACCTCAAGTTAAAAGAAAAGACACCAAAGTAAAAAAACAATTAAAAAGCAAAAGAAAAAATATGCCAATCATCAGGTATCACTCTCATTTTCATGGATTCAATATTCAACTATGGAAGCATTTAATAACATTACTACGCTGAACTATAAAATTAGCAGCACATTTAGAACTTATTTTCTAACATTCTTTATATATTGTCAAAAATAGAAGAAGCGTTGTAAAATGGGAAGAATATGAATTCTAGAGTCAGACAGACTTGGGCTTAGATCCATATTCCCATTACTTAATAGCTGTGTGACCTTGGGCAAATTTCTCCACTTCTCTGAGTTTAAATTTCACATAGTTAAACTGAGGATAATACTATCTTTATAGAATAACTATTTTAAGAATTAACACACATAAAGTCCCTGGTACAAGGCAGGTATCAGTAAATGATATAAACAATAGTTGTTATCTTCAGCTATTTGATCCATGAATTTAATCTGAAATTATGTCAGAAACACATTCACCTGAAACATGGTGGTAATTTCTGAACAATTTGTCTTACCTTTCCCTTATACTAATAATAGGTAAATTATATCTATATTCCTTAATATCTGATTGTTTACAGGTACTATTTTTGTATTGTTTGGTGAGGTAAAGAGAAAGTTAGCAGAAGAAAAAGAGGAAATAACATAGTCCTGGACAGGTGGCTCATTTGATTGGAGCATTATCCCATATACCAAAAGGTTGTAGGTTCAATCCGCAGTCGGAAGGCAACCTTTCGATACTTTTCTGTCACATCGATGTTTCCCTCTCTCTTTCTCTCTCTCTAAAAATCAATAAACATAGTCTCAAGTGGAGATTTTTAAAAAAAGAAGAAATAACACACAAAAAATAAATGTTTCAGCAGTTAAAAGACGATCTGGTTACAAAAAAGAGAGAGAGAGAGAGAGAGAGAGAGAGAGAGAGAAAGAGAGAGAGAGAGAGGTGTGATCTGGTTACAGAATCTGCAGGGGGTGACAAAGTCCAAAAACAATTTTACACCTGAAACTGAGGGATTAGGTTTATGGGATGAGGAGGTCTCCTGTACTTAAAGTAGAAATCTCTTACCTCCACAGCTCCTACTTTCCCTTTCAGGATTTCAGAGCATGATGTACTTTGTACTGCACATCTCAAAGTTCCCATAAATACTGGAGAGATCCAGGAAGAATTGGTTATTTGATGCATATTAGTTACCCCATGAATTCTAATCCTTCCAGCAAGTGTAAAACATAAGCAGAAAATGGGGAACTAAAAGAAAGGGGAAGGGAATAAAGGAAGGTGTGGAAAATGATCTAAATGACACTACATGATTAGTGCCAAAATATAAGTAGGTCAGCAAAATTAACTAATATGCAAATAACTAAAAATTAATTTGCAGTTATAAATATTGTTGCTACAAAATATTGGATATTAACTTCTTTTTAATCACTTGAACTTCCTTTAAAATTAGCTTACCAGAATCATAGCTTGGAGGCTTCATATCTCCCTGATTCAATTCTGTCCCGTATTTCAACTTGTGGTATTTGGCTCTAACAAAGAAATGAGAAAATACAAACCATCTTAAAACATATTTAAATAAACTTTGAGATATGTAATAGGAGTAGTCATTAGTATGCAGCAGTCCCAGCTAACTTTCAAAGGCCCACAGCTTTCCAAGGTGTCAAAGCTATAATACAAAAGTGTCTGCCATTATTCTTTTGTTGTTATGCCATCAAGCGCTATTATAATAAAGGACTAACACTAGGAACTATACATCTTCCTTCTGTACGTACTAATGAACTATATTAATACTCTAGTTTTTGTTGTATTTAAATTTTCTTGATGACTACCAGAGTATAATTCTATTATCAAAAGCAGTAAATTAAGTTTGGCTTGTAAAATAAACTTATAAAAGACTAACCTTTCTCAAAATTGAGTTTTTTTAAAAGAAAAATCATCTATAATACTCTGTGCCTTGTCAGGCAATTATACTTGCCAAGTATGCATTATATTTAACAATCCAAAGGAGGTAGGGGAAACCAGCCCAAATAATGAATGTTGAATAAAATATTCTAGCAGGAATGAAAGAATTTTTCCAAATAGTCAAAGTACCCTTTGCCTTCTCAGGACAAACTCAAAAGAACTATGAACAGGAATTCTTGTCTATTTTCTTTTAAAAGCTATATGTATGTTATTATTTCTGGTTAACCTGATTTAACCATCACAGATTTAACCACCTGAAACCAGAAAAATAATCTAGATAAGGTAAAAATTTTTAAGGTTAAGTAAAAATGGCCATACTTACTTGATGTATTAGTATATTTTGACTTGTTTGCTTCCCCAAAATATTGCAGCCATTTACAATAAATATTCAATATAATGAGATTGAGATAATAACAATAACATGAAAACTTAAGTACTAAAGTAATGAAAGGGTAATATAGCCAAAATTGAAAGTTATTTTTTTGAAAGTTATTTTTACCCTTATAAAAACCTAGCTGAGCACTTACTATAAAGTTTTTATATTTCAAGGAAAGTACAAAGAAAATGAAAATTATTTGCTCAAATGTATGAAGTACTAGAATTCTTCATATTATTTTATAGTTACAACAGAAAAAAAACCAATGTTTTACATGTAGGGGAATCTTAAGAAAACCTATAAAAATTATAGACAGTTGATGTTCTATTTCTTAGTGTAGGTGGTAGGTACATCAGTATTTTTTATCATAGTCTTTATTTTTGCATATATATAAAATTTTTTGTAATAATATGTAACCATTAAAAAGGAAAAGGAATATTTGCTAACACAGACTGATGTCTAAGCTAAGTAAAAAGAAAGTATAAAATACTATGTACATACGTATTTCATATGTATGTTATATATATTTCATATGCACTGAATATTTCTGGCAGGATACATGATACATAATACATCAGTTAAAAAGATTTCCTTTTGGAAGGGCAATCAGTGAAATGATTCAGAAGGGAAACTACTTTGTGTTATTTGGCTAATTAACTATATATATCTATTTCTTTAAAAAATTTTTTTGTCCCAAATTATTCAGAACATCTTTTTCTCTATCCCCAATGCTCCTCTTAATCAAATATTTCATCATCATACTAAACACTTCCTAGTCTATTTCAATGTACTTGTAATAATGTTGATTGTAAGAGGGTAAGATTTATAGACATTAATTTGACTCAAAGTAACAATACCTCCTCGAAGTCAAAACAGCAATTGAAAGTGACTGGCCTGAGAACCAAATAGAAGTAGCAATAAAATTTTATGATGTTAGTTTATATACTTTTGTTATATACATATAAAGAGAAACATTTTCAAATACAAAATACTGTACTATAGTGCATTCTAGTGGTTTTAGGAGGAATCACAACAGCTACAAAAAGGAATAGAAAATATTCTATGCAATATATATGACAAAAATAAAACACTATGAATTAATACTTTATAAAAAATTAGACAAAGACAAAATAAGTACAGAACTGCTGTGTTTACAAGCTCTGTTCCCTTAAAAATAATTTGATTAACTTTAATGAACTATTACTGAATTCTCATGACATGCCAGGCACCGTACTGGCTGTTGGAAACAACTGGCAGTTTGTCATCAGTTATAACGGCGGAGGCAAGGAGATGCCTAAGAAACAGAAATGTAACTCAATAATTATAGCAACTGTTATAGAAACTCAGATGAGGAATTATCTCATTCTGGCCATGGTGGTGTCAAGCAGAAGTACCAAAAAGAAGGTAACACGTGAGATTTTAGCTAACCCTCAAAACACTATTAGTTTCCTAATCAGACAAATAAACTCATGCAGAGGGTATTTCTGTCCGAAGGAACATCTTCAAGCTCCTCTAAGTGTAAAAAACAACAAACAAACAAAATGAAGTGGATCAAAAAACAGCTAGCAGTGTGTGTGTGTGTGTGTGTGTGTGTGCGCGCGCTATATGTGTATGTGTATGTATAGGACTAGAAAGGAGCCTGGATGTAAAAGGCTTTACCACGAAGAATTTTGGAATTAGCCAGATATTTTTAAGCAGGGTATAACATCTATGTTTAAAAAAGTGAGTTCAATGGACATGGAAATGTTTAAGAGCTCTAATTCACAAAGAAATTATTTGTATTCCTTTATTATACTTCAATAGAGCCATTACATCAGGAATAATCTCAAATCATTCCATGAAATTCAAAAGATACAAAATCAGGTACTCTTTTCCAGGAGAATCCCATTAGCTTAAAAAAAAAATCTTCCCTAGACCAGGCCAGTTCTTTATCTCTTCTGTTCTCCAAACTAAACTACTTGAAAAATAAGCAACTATATCTGTCTCCACTTTTTTATCCTTCTCACCCTTCAACCTACTGTGATCTGGTTTATGTTCCTGCTATCTCACTGAAGCTGTTCTGGCAAGGATACCAAGACACTCCTCCTAACTGGCAAATCCAAATGACTACTTTTAGTATACAGTTTACTTGGAATCTGCAATTGTCATACTCCCACTTTCTTTAGCTTGCTTCAAATAGACTGTTCTTTCCTTCCTTTTCCAACCACTGTCTTGTTGGATCTTCTTCCTCTGCCTTTTCTTCAAACATTTCCATTTCCTGTAGTTCTCTTTTCCCACAATATTTGTTCTTTTCTCAACTACTCCTACATCTTTACCTACAATATTGATGTATACATGTCTGTACATGAATCCTCTCCCATATTTGCCTTTAAACCATTAATTCTTATCCTTTAATTCTTAATTCTTATCCTTAATTCATTTGATAACTTCCAAAACACACTTCAAGCTGAAAACCTGAGAATCATTCTTAAATTATCTTTCTTCCTCATCCCTTATACCCAATCATCTTCCAGACTGTTATGGATTCTATCCATTAAAATGTTTCAGAGTTGATGCCTCCTCTATTCCTGTAGCTACTATGTTATCATTTCTCATCATACATGATTAAAATCTTCCTGCCCATATTAACAGACTTTTCCAGTCCATCCCTCACATGGAGGTCAGGATGATCTCTCTAAAATCTATTTCACACTATTCCGTGTTTAAAACCTTTCAATCACATGACAATTAACATGCAATATGTATTCCTAGACTGGATTGTGGACCAGGAAAAAAAACCTATCAATATCATTATTGGGACATTTGGTAAAAAAATTATATGAAGATCGTGATTGAAACACATAAATATGGGCTATGTTAGATAATACCAACATTAAATTTCCTTAGTTTGATAATAATCTGTAATTATACAGCAGAATGTCCTTGCTCTTAGGAAATATAAGCAGAATAATTCAGGGGAGAAGTAATGTCTGCAACTAAGTAGTAAATGGTTTGGAAAAAAATATGCTAGAATGTGCATGATGAAATTAAAAATATATTAAAAATGTGGTCAGACTAATGAATCTGGGAAAGTGGTATATAAGTCTTGCAACTTCTATTAGTTTGAGGTTATTTTTAAAAGTTTCTGAAATTTTCAATATTCCCTATTGTGTGTAAGATAAAAGTTTTAATTTCTTCATTAGGCTCTCCATGATCACTTATCAAATCACAACTAATGTCCTTCCCTCCAAAGCACAGTAATTACAAATTTCTGAACACACCAGACTGCTTTATTCCATGAGAAACATATCCTTTCTACTTCCTGCACCTTACCTATCTGCCAAACACACTACTTTTTATAATGATGTTCAAGTCTCACCTCCTCTAATTACACCCTCCTTTCTACTTCCACCTGCCAGACAGAAATAACCACTCCCCTCTTTGTGACTCCACTCTGGGCTACAGACTTCTCCCAGAGCACCCATCAGACTGCACCGCACCATGTGGTTTCCAAGTCCGTCTCCAGTTACTCTAAGCACAGAAGGGCAAGGACTATGACCTATGTTTACACTCAGCCCCACCACAGTGCTTAAGTTGGATGCATAGATTAGTATGTTTAATGAGAAGACACACACACTCTCTCTCTCTCTCTCTCTCTCTCTCTCTCTCTCACACACACACACACACACACACACACACACAATATTCTTGATTACTGTAGTATTTGTGTATTTCAATTCTTCCATCTCACGAGATACTATACTGTGCCAGTAAAGAATACAGGCTTCAGAATCAGACACACCTGAGAGACCTGAAGCACTACTCCACCGAACTCTACAATTCTACCCAGTTATTTTGTCTCTAAGCCTCAGGGCCTGGTACACAACATTTAATAAATAGTTGCCATTTTAATATTACTCTCTCTTTGCTTATGCCTATAACTTAGAGAGCTTAAAACATCAAATATTCCCAAACTACTACTTTTGAAAGTCTTTTCCCCATCTCTCCAATACGGTGTTCTTTTCAATCAACTTCTAAAGGAAATGAACCACTTATTTTTCACTAAGAAGTCAACCTGTTTTCAATCTCCTACGCCATTTAAAGATGCACATAAGGGTGAACACAAGTTCTAATAAAGTCTTCTTTATTTCTTGATATTCATAAATATCATCTGTTAAATGCTATTTTATAGTAGTTTTGTGGCAAACAGCCCATTAATCAACATGAAAATAATGAGAAATACATGTGATCACCAACAATAAAGCAAAACAGAGAATTTCAATACCATCTACCAAGTACTCAAAACAAAGAACTATTTCGCACTGCTGATATATACAAAAATCCAAAGACCATCAACCGTTAACGCAAATGAACCTAAGTCATACGAAACTCTCATCTGTGAATTGTCCTTGACTTAAAACCCAAGTTTCGTTACTTGAGTATCTCAGGCACCAGCAAACTAGAAAGGTAAGATTTGCTTCTGGAGAGATATCAATAGCTGATAGCAAAGGAACAAAATACAAAAAATGTCTATAAAAAGATTCTCAACATAGTCTGCCAGGAAAATTTTTTCCAAAGAAAATACATCAAATTGAATAATATTAGATAACAGGAAAAGGGCTATAAGCATTATAGAAATTTCCTTTACAACTCAAAAACTACTTCAATTCTATAAAGAAATGGATAGTAATAGTTAACTATATGTTTCTTAAGAGAGAACAGAGGAGGGAAAATGTTGCTAAAATGTTCAAATCACATAAATCAGTTTATTGGTCATTAATAATAAATGTTAATACAATTAAATTAACATATTACAACCATTTATAAATGTCTATTACAGATAATACTTCCTGAATTCAGAAGTATAAAGTATTAAAATTTGGATTTGTTTTAGGAATGACAGAAAAATTATTCCAATATTTAAAACTATCTTCTGTTTTACATGAATTACCTTTCCTGTTTAAGAGCATACTCCAGCATTTTGATCCTTCTCACAAGATCCTTCTTCAAATTTTCTTGACCTTTCCTTTCCCCTTGAAGAAAGGCAATCTGGGCCTGAGTAGGAAAAAGAAAGATAAAACTCAGTTTAGACCAAATATGCTTTTTTAAAAACTCAGTTAAGAATATTTGGAAGACAGGACAATTAGATGCAAAAACATTTCTTTTGCATATCTGTCACAAACAGATATGTTTGTATGTAAGTATACAGATACTTTCTGTATGTAAGTATACAGAAAGTCACTGACTGCAAGAAAAAAAAAAGTTTAAGGTCTGACTGGTGTGGCTCAAGGGATTGAGCACCAGAAGGTCACTGGTTCAATTCCCAGTCAGGGCACATGCCTGGATTGCGGGCCAGGTCCCCAGTTGAGGGCATGCGAGAGTCAACTGATTGATGTCTCTCTCACATACTGATGTATCTCTCCCTCTCATTCTCCCTCCCTTCCCCTGTCTCTAAAAGTAAATAAATGAAATCTTTACAAAAAATATGGCTGGATACTGGAAAAAAGGTTTAATTAACTTTTTTAAAGAAAAGGACATCTATACACATTGTATTTCAGGCTAGGGAGGTTACAAGGTATAGTCCATATCCTTAAGAGTCTACAGTCTAAAGCAACCAATAAATGCAGACATATGCAAAGCATACAGTATAGTGTGTTCAAGTGTTTGTCTCCCAAAGCATTGGGAGTTCTCTCTTTTATAAAGAGTGAAGATGGGAAAAGAAAAACAATTATAAGTAAAATTATGAGTTCTTAAAATACCCTTGCAAAGTAAAAGTTCTCAGAGCTTCACCACATATTTAAATTTATGATGAATCTTTGTCAAGAGACTTTATCCCAGACCTCCCCTACAAACAATAAATAGCTGCCTTTCCTCAAGCTCCACCTTTCATTCCAGCCCTACCCCCCCCCATTAATATGCAGGAAAAAAAGAAAGTGAAAGCTGGAAAAGGGAAAATTAGAGATAATGGCCCTCTTTAGTTTCTTCCCAAAGAATTATTGTACTAACAAAATAGAACCCCTACATTTTAACATGACACAAACTATAAAATTCTTGTCTTCAGTGAAAAAGAGGGCAAGGAAAGAGCTGATCTGAAGAAGAATTAAAAAGACATTTAGGCCCTGACCAGTTAGTTTAGTTGGTTAGAGTGTTGACCAAATATGCCAAGGTTGCAGGTTTGATCCCCAGTCGAGGCTTATACAAGACACCACCAATGAATATATAAATAAGTGGAACAAAGCAATGTTTCTCACTCTCCATTAATCTCTCTCTTTCTCTAAAATCAATAAATAAATTAAAAGAAAACACATTTAGGATTGAAATAATATCTTCCACTTAAGGAATTGAAACCATGTCACAAACACTAATTTGCCAAAGTAAGTCATAATATTACTGAGAATAGGGCAAGAGGTCTACTTAATAACCATCAAGGCTATCAATTCCCACATGCTTTCCCCTCCCATTTTTATTATATTAACCCAGGCAACGTTATTTCTATTTCTATAGTGTCTTGCATTTTATTAAGCAAGAACTACATTAAATGGTGACCTTACCACAACCCTAAGGAATTGTGGGGACTGTCCAACTAAGTTTTAGAGAGCAAGCCATTAAGCTTACTTCTACTTAATTTGAATGACAGTAATTTTTATTTATTCAGTACAGAAATGAACAAAAAATCCAACTTGCAGAGTTTCATAACTTACAGTTATTGTGATGTAGGTACTGCTACATTTTTGTTCTCATTGCAACAGGCTCTTAAAATTTTAATTACAATTAAAAAATATTTTTATCTTATTGAAATAATTAAAATAATCTAAAAATAATTCAACTGCATACAAAGGAAAATGGTATCAAATATATATATAACATGAGCCCTGGCTGGCGTAGCTCAGTGGATTGAGCGCGGGCTGCGAACCAAAGTGTCGCAGGTTCGATTCCCAGCCAGGGTACATGCCTGGGTTGCAGGCCATAACCCCCAGCAACCAGACATTGATGTTTCTCTCTCTCTATCTCCTTCCCTTCCCCCTCTAAAAATAAATAAACAAAATATTTTAAAATTAAAAAATATATATATAACATCTATGTTTAATAATCATATAAACCTTTTGAAATTATTTATTCTGTAATAAGATCATTATTTTATATAAGCATAACAATAATAATAATAATAATAATAATAATAATACATGCATTTAAAGCTGACGAAAATTAAAGACTTGTCAAAAATGCACTACAGCCCAACCTGTTTGTCCAAACAATGCTTTGGCACAAAATTCTGTTGTTCAAAATGGCTTTAATAAAAACTATACTGCAATCAGTATAATCGTATAATCAAAGTAATAATAAAATTGATTGCGAGTTTTTCCCTTTCTACACCCTTTGGCTAGTTTTGTATTTCTATCACTGTCACTGGTCCTGGGTGATTCTGAAACTTCAGCCTCCAATGTCCAAGTCTTCACTGTAACTCATTCCCCAACCCACCAACTATCTCCTTATGCTCCCAGTACACTTGCTTTCTTATCGTCCTATGAATTCACATATTGGGTTAGTTAAATAGTTAATAAAAATAGAAGATCCAGAATTGTTCAAGAGAAAGATTACAAAAAGGGTAGAAGCACCTAGAAGGGAAACAAAAAGGTGTAATACTAATATGTGTGATTTTCCTTGATGGTAAATCACAGAACACCTTTGTGGTTATTTCTTGCCAAAGATACATAACTGGAAATCAGTCGTAAAAAAACATCAGGCAAATTCAAACTGAGGGACACTTTACTTGAACTTTCTTGTAATACTCAAAAGTATCAGGTCCTAAAAGTCAAAGGAAAAGACTGTTTCAGGTTGAAGAAAACTAAAAAGATATGAAAACCAAATGTAACATGATTCTGGACTGGATTTGGCTATAAAAAACAATATTGGAACATGAAACATGAATGAGCTCTCAGGATTAGATGATAGTAAAATACATCAGTGTTACTTTCCTGATTTTGATGGCTATATGTGGTTATATAGGATAATACTTGTTTATAGGAAGTAAACTCTGCAGTATTTTGTGGGAAGCAACAGGCCATCAGGTTGGCAGGCAACCTGCCCTCATATGGTTCAGGACCAAAAAAAAAACTTCTTTGTTTTGCTCTTACAACTTTTCTGTCAATATAAGATTTAAAATCTTTTATTTTAAGAAGGATGGAGGAAAGAAGAAAGAAAGAAAGAAAGAAAGAGAGAGAGAGAGAGAGAAAGAAAAAGAAAGAAAGAAAGGGAAAGAGGGGAGGGAAGGGAAAGAACTCATGGACACAAGCAACAGAGTAGTGATTGCAGGCAGAGGGGGTGGAAGTGGAAGAGAGTATAAGGGGGATAAATGGTACTGGAAAAAATACAATAAAAAATAAAATAAAATCTTCTATTTTAAAACAAACACTATCCTATGCCAACCTACCTGATGATAAAATACAAACAATACATTTAAAACAAGCATCATGCACAATGATGAAACCCAAAAAGTAGTGACATTGAGGAACAAAACAAGAGTGTTCATTTATCACCACAAATATTTAACATTGTTCAGGAGGTGGTAGCCAATATCATCAGATAAAAACAAGTAAGTTTAGACTTCCAGTCAAGATGGAGACATAGGTAAACATGGCTCATTCCTCACACAATCACAGCAAATTTACAGCTAAACTAGAGAGTATCACTCTGAACCGTCATAAAAATGAGCTGTATGGAAATCAAACAGCTAAGGAATTAAAAGAACCACACTCATCCAGACAAGTAGGAAGGATGGAGGGGTGGAGACATGGAACCAGCAGATCCCAAACTCAAGTGTGGTAGATATAAAACAAAAGGACACCCCAGGAACAACAGATTTCAGCCCCAAACCAGACCACCCAGCACAGGGTTCCATCACCAGGATGATTAAGTCCCCATAGCTTCTCGCTGTAAAAACCAGTGGGGGCTCAGTCAGCAGAAAAATCTGAAGGATTCTCAGGCCTCTCCTCTTAAAGGGCCTTACGTCACAGATTCACTCACTCAGATTCATTCCCTCTGGGCTCCAGCACCAGGGTAGCATCTCAAAGGGCACCAGTGGTATATAGGGAGGAACTTAAGTGTCTGGCACCAGGGCAGGAGCTGGGGAAAGCTTCCTCCCAAACAGAACTGCAGATAGCAGCCATTGTATCTCCCCCACACAGAACCACAGTGCAGTGGCACCATATCTGAATTTCCATCAACCCAGCTCACACGGTAAGCTCCACCCTGACAATTACCTATGGATCTGCCTCATCCAACTTATGGACCCACCCTAACTGGTAGCAGTGGCTTTTACATATGTAGGACTGGGTAAGGTGCAGGCTTAAGACCTTCCTAAATCCACTCAAAGGACCAACAACTGAGCCCAGCAGCCTGTACCTCTTCTTGAGAGGCCCCAGGCCCAGCACTAGCAGCAGCCATCAGCAGATCACTTTATAGCTTAGGTCAAGGGACCCCAGACAGAATACAAATGGATACTGATCTTGGCCTGCACCACCTGGGAAACCCAAGGGCCTGCGCACGCAGCGGACAGTTACACAGCACATAGGAACACCATCCAATCACCTCCAGAAGCCATGGAGGGAGACAGCTGCAAGTCGGAGCCAGTCCCACCAACTGACTGAACTGGGTAAATCCCTCCCATTGACATGCTGACAGCAATCAAGACTCATCCAAAAGAGAGGGGAGTACTCAGCCCACACAGAGGGCGTACCTCAAGTACACAGCTTGGGACACAGAGGAGGCTGTGCCACTTGACTCTACAGGACACCTACTACATTAGGCCATGCTACCAAGACACGGAATCACAACATCTCTACCTAATACACAGAAACAAACACAGGGAGGCTGTCAAAATGAGGAGGTGACGAAATATGGCCCAAATGAAAGAACAGAAGAAAACTCTAGAAAAAGAACTAAACAAAATGGAGATAAGCAATCTATCAGATGCAGAGTTCAAAACACTGGTTAAAAGGATGCTCAAGGAACTCAGTGGGTACTTCAAGACCATAAAAAAGACCCAGGCAGAAACA